TTTGCTAAACTAGAGACGACAACTCGGTTCTAAATATGTAATAAAATGGGAGGAAAAAGGAAATACAACTGTCAACCAATCTCTCTCCTAGAGTTGCTTTTATACTTCTTCTTCGCCTTGTGGTACGGTGTCCTTGTTCAGTTTTACATTATTATTATTCCCGTATTTTCCCTTGTCTGTCCCTCATCGATCACATCAACAAACTTGTCATCAAGAGGACAGGGCCAAGTTTTGTGTATGCTGCGTGTGCTCCATCCTCCATATATTTCATATGTCCAAGTCAACTGCGCTTTATCAGCTAATAAATTCCGCTTTTGGGAATATGGATGTGAAGTTTTCTGCTCTACTTGGTTTTCCCAAAACCGTCAAAGATAATTCAATATAGTCGACAGTCGATGAAAATATCCTGTTTTGTTCGGATGGATTTTGACAAGTTTCTCTCATTTGAATCGACTTTTGCATTTCATTTTCTATAAATACATGTTTTCCCTTCGTGGGATTTTTTTGATTTGCTCCAGATTTTTACTTTCCAATTTACAAGGTTAAAAACACGTTATACAATCACGCGTTGGATGGAAACCAATCCCCCGAAATCTTCTAGATCTCATAAAACACTCGACAACTTTGGCTCACTACCAAGATCAAAACCCAACGAGGAGAACGGAGAGAAAAGAGAAAATAAATGATATCAAGCATGGCCATGGCGTGGCACATCCATCCAAACAGGGTCGAGATGAGACTCTGGATGTCATCCTCCACCCGAATAAAAGTAAATAAAACGATCTTTTACAATGGAAACTGGCATACAGAATAATAAGGACATGCACGAAGAATCCTCTTGTATCCTAAATAATAATACCGACCATATATTTCACCACAAAAGCGGTCTGCATGCAGGTCGCACATACAGATATTCGTATCATGCGATGGAAAATAATAAGCACCACAACTAACTCCACGACTACTTCAGCTCACTCATTCAGCAAATACAATAGTGTTTTCCTCTCCCCCATACAGAAAGTAATACTAGATAAATATCACGCAAAATGACGACGACTACTACGACAGTTAAGGAGGAGGAATATGTCCTATGCACAATTTAGGTTCTCTCGAGGAGTCAGTCAGAAAAAAAGAAATCTTATTGTGTTGCTTTGCTTTCCCAGGAAGAGAAATCTGAAAATCTTTTGTTACATTATGCAATAGGAAAATGAAACCACTTGAATTTTGGATGCACGACAGAACAAGACAAACAAGGAAACCAGTATGTGCTATGTAACAAAGCATTGTAGCATGCATGAGGTTGTGGAGGAGAAAACTCGACTCTAAGGCATCATCACATTTAAGATTTACAATTTTGTTTCTGATTCTGCACATGTTGATGCGCATAGTATAAAATCCTAAACAAAAACAACAAAGAATGGATACTAGAGAAAGAAGAAGAGGAAGGAGAAAGCAAGCTCTTTTTTTCTCGAGGCGAATTTCATGGTAGACAAGTCATCAGCCGTCAACATGTATGCACACAAGGCAAAGAAAGATAGAGAAAGCAACCACCACCACCAAAATATACGACTGGAGGGGGTTTTCCATAAATTGGTTGGTTTCATCTTTTACTTTACTTTACCACCGTTCTTAACCAAAGTCTGGGTAGATAAATATGTAACAAATAAAAATAGTCGGATTGAGGAACAATTTGTTTTGCAACTTTTTGCAAAATGCATTACAATAACTTTCTCTTTTATCGTTCGGCTGGTTGGATACGTATTTTGGGCGGTTTATCCGTCCGAGAGGGTCTAAAGATAGGTTAAAAATAGAGTGAGGTGAAAGTGGACTTTCACTTTTGCATTATTGTCTTATCTGCATGTTCTTACGTTTTAAAACTTTGAGAGTTTTGCAATTACAAAAATTAACTACTTATAAATATCCATTTTCTCAGTATTTTTACCCACAGGCTCCAGCTGAAATGGTGTGAAATGCCTCCTTAACATATTTATTGAACAAGTTTAATCTCTGCCAAAATACCTAAACCCAGCTAATAAACAAGCAAAGACTTATATCCTCTATCCTCTCTTCTCCTCTGCTTTCCACGTTTTTGTACGAAAATAAATAAGTAAAAGCTCCCAGAAATCCTCCAAACTGGGAAATATATCAATGACTCCAGGAAATAGAATAGGTTTGCATCTAATCTCAACAAGACAACAATGAAACGGGGAGAAAAAAGCTAAATGAGATATTTCTCTTGAGAACGTCCCACGCGATCGGAGAAAGATTCAACTTCGACTTTCTTCAAGAATTTACAACCAAACTCCAGCATTTTGATCCCACGAGGCAGCCACGCTACGCCACGAGTACGTCGCGCCGCACATAAACGTACGTACATACATAACTGCTCGTGTTATCCATCCGGCATGGGGAGAAAAGTTATCTTTGCTAACTCTTCTGCCAGGAAAGTCCTTGGAATAAAATACATTTTTATTTCCGTCAAAGTGACATCTCTGAACTTTAAAGCCGTGTTGAGACTCTGGGACTACCCTTCTTTTCGCAGTGAAAGAAAGAAAGGATTTAACTTGGAGATTATCCAGTCAAACAGAAGACGGAAGGGGAAGGATGGTCCCATTTTATGCAAACCGTGGCGTGCAAGCGAACATAGGAAAACGTACCCGTGGTAATTTTCATCCGTGGAAAATTCTACTGGAATTTGACATGGTCAGTCGTCGTCGCCGTCGTCGTCGTCGAGGACAGTAATACTAAACCGAAACTAATAAGGGCAAGAAGTTGCATACCTGCATGTCCTCAGCTAGCTGTCGACACGTCCCACATTTTAATATCCAACTCTTTGCTGAGGAGGTCAACTTGTTGTTCCGCCCACCCAGCAGAATTTGTGGGACAAAAATGGCAAGGCAAAAAAATATGTTTACTTCTGGTCTGGACGAAAGTACTCTAGAAAAAAAGTGTCAATAAGATCTAATATCAATTGTAGGAACTAAACGATGTGAAATAACCCCGCTCACAAAGACCGAGTTAACATTTTTGGTCAAGAAAAACATTTTACTCTTGAAAGAAACCCCACCCGATGTTGGCTAAAAGTACATATTTCCATCTTTCCGTTTCGTTTCATTGACCATGTCTCTTTCAGAACAGCTCCATTAATCTCCGCCCGGATTCCAGTTCTCAGAGACAGCTCGAAATTCATTATTATTATTATGAGTTGCTTCCCCACGTCCTTTTACGTTCCTCGGTTTGGAGGAAGTAGAGAAAACCTCACTCTTGAGAGAAAGCGAAGAAAACAAAAACATGCTATATTTCAGAAGAAACGTTACATGGGTGGCTGGTTGGTGCTTTCTTTTGTGGCCAAACACACGGTCATGTATTGTACAGTACAAAAAAACGACAGCTCAAGTGGGAGTTATTATATCGCTGTACCCACATTATCATACATACGTTATTTTACTTCAGTTATGCACCATTTGAATAAAAAAAAAGTCTAGAGAGAACAATACTTTAGCATTTTCATGTCGTCAGATTCAGTCAATATTTTTTTGTCGGAAAGATGATTGATATATGAAACTGAAAAACTATGAGCAATTGCTCCTGATCAAAATGTTTGAATTTTTGAAAGAAGCCTGAGTATAAAATTTCAATAATATACCAATAAACATTATTTAATATTTGAAGTATATGTAAATTAGGGCAAAATATTGTTACAGCCTTGTTACTTTAATAGTAATTATTTCCAATTCATTATTCGCCTATGTCGTCTCGGTTTGGGATCTTCTTCCAGTTGTCCAAGTCGACGCGACGACAGTGTCCACACCTGAAATATTGGCAGAGTATTGCCTTCTTCATGGCTCCAGGGCCGATTAAAATGCAGGCGAAAAGTATTCCCGTTATGGAGAGGATTGTGCCGAACAGCGCCCAGAGCCAGCATGGAATTCCGAATTTCCAAAAGTCCTTAGGATTTCTTAACATTTCCGTGCTACTGACAGTCGACATCTTTAATTCGGGTGACTCAGACAAATTCCTGAGGGATGTGATTAAAAGACAATATTAGTGAAAAGATAGTTTTGCAAAATGCCCAGTATTCATACCAATTCATTTTCACTTTCATGCGAGATGCGGAAACCTGGCTTGACAAAAAATGGTAGAAAGGTTTCTACTAATTGTAAGAAGAATTAGCTAAATTTAGTTGACATGAGGTACGAGTATGTATGATGTTCGAGATTGTGCCGAGGATTAGCCAAATGTATTTTTATTCTCATTACTTCGAATTAAAATTATGATAGAAAATATATAGTCATAGTCCCTAATTTCCAGAAATTCATCTTTTGTCTATTTAATGAATGTCTAAAATTCATACATGAACATGAAGTTTTGATACTACCTTTCCAATACTATAAATACTTTATAATTGCTAAATTTTTATAAAACTCCTTTACAAAAATGGGTTAGGAATGAATATAATTAAAATTTGGACAAAGTTAAACGCCATTATAAATATTTCTGCTAAAATATACGCGCATCTTAATATCAATTTTAATCTATATCGATTGTTAATAAAGTACTATATTAGCCGATTTAATAAAATATATAAATATTTTTAAATTATTTAAAAATGCCATCCAATTTATTTTAGATAATACATATTCTAATTTTCTACCACTCTGAATATTCATTTATTTCCATCAAAAATTTGCAATAGCATCGCTAACAATAAAAATCTTATACATAAAGTAAGTTAAGCGTATAAAAAAAGTAAAATGCTTATTTAAAATACACATTAAATATTAATTAAACTAAAATCTAGAAGAAAAAAAATCCCTCCAAAAAAACACAAAGCAACATCGCATCGCTCCGCCATAAGTAACAGCCAAAAAGCCAACAATAAATATATAGGAAATAGGATAGGATCCATATACATCCATGATAGGATCTTACATCGTCATTCGTTAACAGGTAGTCGAGTTAATACATGATTTAAATACGTCAGCCAATCATATTGTACTTAAATATGAGACACGCGTATTACACAGATTCTTTCCTATGTCTTCTCCATGCTCTTTTTTTTTAACGGACAACATTCCAAGATTTTGTGAAAATAAATACAAGTCCTGACATTAGTGACATTGCATTGCATTACTCAGCTCAGTCTCAGTCCAGTCTTCTTCACGTACTGAATCTCATCATTTCTTAATTTTTTCGTATAGACTTGCAGCAACTTCATTAGTTTTTCGTTTTTATTTTTTTCTCAAGTTTTCCCCTTCTTGTTGCTTTGACGCAATCTTTAGTTCAGCTTTTTTTTAACTCGTCCCAAATTCACAATTTTTTGACCTCTTCTTCTTCCACATTTGCTATTTTAACACAGGACAATGCCCTGGCCCAAGAGCAAATCAGTCCAGCAGCGCAAGTTGCTGACTCCGTTACAGGAATTGAATCAGGAAAAAGATCGGAACGGTATAAAAAAAATTGTGGTTTTTTAGATTTGTACAATTTTTTTTTCTATTTAGTTAACTTTTGTTATTTTCATTTCATTTAAAGTCCGTAATCTACGAGGTAGAATGAGTCGTAAAGCCAAAGACAAAGAGTTGTATTCAAAGTATCAAGATTTGTCTTCAGCGGATTCTGGGAATGAGGGACAAGATTTTCCGTCTCAAAATTCTACTCTTAACGGAGATAATGGATATCTTGAGTTAGGTCAACGCGTCATGATCAAGATAAAACAAGAAATTGCAGAAGAAGACGATATTGATTATCATGAATTGTATCTTCAAAGGACTAAACGAAATCCGAAAGTGCCAAAGGGAAATCATGCTTGTATAACTTGTGGAAAGGTAAGAAAAGTGATAATTTTGTGTTTTTATTTGGTATTAAATAATTAAATTTAAATTCATAATATTATATAAATAAACCGTCGCAAACGCGCATACGGAAGTAGCTTCAGACCTACTTCACCCCAAACGGTCCCACCACAACTCGGGAACACTTAATTTCACTCTATTTCACCTATAGATTAATTTTTTGTAAAAATCTCATTTTGCCCCGACCACACCCCCTGGCGACGAGGGGGTGTGGCACAACTCCGGAACACATAATTTTACTCTATTTCACCTATAGATTAAATTGCACTAAAAATCTCATTTTGCCCCAACCACACCCCCTGGCGCCGAGGGGGTGTGGCACAACTCCGGAACACATAATTTTACTCTATTTCACCTATAGATTAAATTGCACTAAAAATCTCATTTTGCCCCGACCACACCCCCTGTCGCCAAAGGGGGTGTGGTCCGGTTGCCCCCAAAAGTTGATAGGATCCTCCCCCTGGGGTCCTATGTATGATGGCGAAAACCGATTTCGATTATCTCGATCCGTTCTCCTGATATCCTGCTGACAGACAGACGGACAGACAGACAGACAGACAAAGTCTTCACATAAAGTAGCTGAAGCTACTTAATAATTGATTTTAGTCGTTCGTCTACTATTCTCAACTTCGCCAACATCATTCCCGTCATGCAGTTTGGATTTGTGAAGAGGCTGGATGTAAATTTGAGTATCATGACAAAACTCAACTTTTCAATCATTTGAAGAACGATCATGGCAAGAAGAAGAATGAATTGCTGGACAAACGAAATCAAGAGTGTCCCATCTGTTTCAAACGGTTTGACTCGCCACAAGGCGTGTTGGAACATCATCGAGCGGATCATGATTCGAAAGGTAATTGTTTCATTTGTTTATTCGAATATTATTTTATTTTATCTATTATTTGTTTAAGTTGAAGTTTAAAGCTGTTTATTTTTAACAACAGATTACAATATTTCTTATTTGTATTTGTATAGGAAAGTATCCTTGCAAACATTGCGGGAAACCTTTCTTTTACTGGCAATCGAGGAAAACACATCAGAAATCATGTGGGAAGATTGAGCCGAAAAAGAAACCACGATCCTTGAAAACTGTGAAGCCTGCGAAGACCGTGAGGCCCGTAAAAGAAGGTCGGGTGAAGAGAGCTTATCGGCGAAGGGTGCCGTTATCGCTGAAAAAGGATCGAAGAATGGCAACTCCAGTCCCACCTCCGCCACCAATGGTGTTCAGTAATGATGATGATGACAGCGATGACGAAGATACAATGTCTGTAGAGTCCTTGACCGTGGATTCAGATACTCCGCTGGACTTATCGATGAAAACGGGAAAAATTTGGAACACCAAGCCTAATAACAAGGGCCCATCGAAACGCAAAGGTAACCCAAAGATCGAATAGTTACAATACCTTTTATTGTGGATAAAATTACTAAATTATAATGGATTGCTTCATTAGTGTCAGGCAATAATACTGCGGTTTCAAGTCTCTCATCAGTCAAAACTGGGTTATCGGAAGAAGCTCAGCAACAACTTTTGAAAAGAGTGATGGAAAGACGAGATTTTCTTTTGGATATCGACTGCAGCACGGCAAGTTTGGACGTTGTGATGATGTGCAACGAAGCTGTTGAACAAGGTAAAGGTCCAGGGACACTTTTGTATATTAATTCTGTATTACGACACGATTATCTTTATTTTATTTTATAGCTCGTCGCTTGTATTTCGGGGAGAGAATGTATTACCGCAACATTGATTTGGCCTGCCAGGTATTTACAAAGTGTAAATCCCAATCCAAGCTTTAATTATTTAAGCTACAAATTTTATTTGCTCAATATTTCAGGCACAGGCTTTGGCAAATTTCTATCTAGCTCGGCATGAAATGGAAACGCGAGCCGCAGCATCTGGAAATTCGGACCAGAATTTTAATCAGGACAACATCGACGTGGTTGGGATTAACGTTGATGATGCTTCACGCGCAAGCTTGACATTGGATTAACTTTTACTTTTTTTATTGAAACTATGCACGTCTATAACGCCAAAATTATGCTTTATTGTGCATGTTCTTATACTTATATTGATTGTTACTTATCGTACCCAGGTTCATGTATTTTATTCAGATAAGTTAATTTTTAATGCAACCAAACACAAAATGTAAAACCACTTTTAATGCCATCAAATAAAACCATTTAACTTTGTATGAAACTGAAACCTACCTTTGAGATTTGATGCGTTATCAATTTGTCATTCCTTCAATTATTATGTGGACACTGACATTGCCTGCATCGTATCAGCCACTATTGATAAGATATTGATTAATTCATCTGAAGCACACGGATGCATGAAAATTAAGTTTGTAATTGAATAGTTCAGTTTTGTCAGTGCATTCGTGCGGGGATAACACATTAAATTCCTAAGAATTTAATCTACACCATGATGTCGAAACTAGTAGTGAATTCGTTATTGTGCTCGACATTGGTGTTCCTCGTCATATTTTCCCAAGTTCACGGACAATCGACGACCTTCTTCCCTCCAGTCGATGACACGATCGTGGATGCCGGAGAATTAGGGCACATTCGTGGGTCGTACTCGCTACTATCACGGCCACGATATGGCAATCGAGACTATTATTACTACTACACCGGCATCCCGTACGCTGATCCGGCCTCTTACACTGAAGATAACCGATTCAAGGTGAATACGATTTACACATGTCAGACATGAGGTTATTCTGTGACCGATATTTTTTGCAGCCCTCGACCCTGCATAGAGGTCCGCTTACTAACGATAGCAGCGTGTTCATTGCCGACAAGTCGTTGGTTTGGTGTCCTCAAGCAAAATTGATAAATTTCCCCACGCCCGAAGAGTCTGGAAGAGAGTACAACTTTACAGAAATGCTTCGAGCTGCTAGTCATCAAAAACAAAAAATTCGCCAAGATCCTATTTCCGCAAAAGGCGATGGGTTCATGGGTCAAGAAGACTGTTTAGTTGTTACTGTCAGCACTCCAAACGTAGGGCAATTAAATTAATTTAATGTTTGGCAAAGCTTCAGTACTAATATTTTGGTATTGACTAATAATAGATTCAACGAGTTGGAGACCCAGAAATTGACCCCAGCGACCTTCTCCCAGTTATCGTATTTTATCATGGAGGTGGTTTCAATCAGGTTTTTAACTTCACTTTTTCCAGTTTTCTAAATCTAATAAATCATACGAAAATGTGTATTATTTAGTTTTGGGGGTCAGTTTTTGGAGGACATCGACTGCTCAATCGCGATGTGGTACTAGTGTCGTTAAACTATCGGTATTAAATTATTACTTTGAAATATCTTCCAATTTTGCAGTTAGAATTTATAATTGCTTAATTTTTTTGTAGATTGGGGATTTTAGGTAATTATTTACTCTAACCACATAAATTTAAAGAACGGCCTTCACCCTTTCTATAATTTAAGGCTCATTGAATCTTGGCGTCGATGATGCACCTGGAAATGCTTTGGTATATGATGCCATAACTGCGCTTCAATGGGTTCAATCCTACATTAAACATTTCGGAGGTGACCCTAACAGAGTCACCGTTTCGGGTACATTTTTTACTTAAACTATAAAATTTATCCAATAGTATTCTTTTTTTAACCATTTCACCACATCATCGTATCCTTAGGACAAAGTGCTGGAGGTGTACTAGCAACCACCGTCTTTTTGAGTCCTATGTCGCAAGGACTAATTCACAGGGCAATCGGCGACAGTGGAAGTGCTTACAGCATTTGGGCGACTAACATGTCTCCGATGAACGATCATATCCGTTTCGCGACATTTACCTCATGCAATTACATCATTGACGATGCCCCCACAGAAGAGGACATTGATTTCCAAGTGTTAACGGATTGCATTAAATCTCTCACCCTTGGAGATCTCGTTCAGGCTCAAAAAGATTTTGGAGTATGGACATAAATACTTAAATATGCAACTCACATCCACGAATTTCAGAAAATATATGGCTTCCATTTATGTAATTGTGCAGGTCGCCGAGAATTTAGAAGCCAGAATGGGATACGACGCTTATGTTCCATCACTTCAAAGTCCTACCATAACACACCCAAGATGCATTGTGGAATCGCCCAGTGATGTCTTGAAAAATAAGAGGCAAGCAAACGTCCCTTTGATGATTGGTGTGACTCGGCATGACGGCAGCTTTGTTTTTGATGGGACCTACTTTGATTACCTCGTCGCAAATGGACTCCATCTTAATCAGACCTTCATTAGGAACGATTTTCTAAAAATTTTCCTTAATGGATTTGGTATGATGGTCACAAGTTTTTGCTAAATTGCATGTCAAATTATGAATTTTTTCGATCAGGATTTGTTGACACAACTGGAGCATTACTGCATTCACTTATCCACACTTATGTCGGCGAGGCTATGAATTCCAATGATTTTAATGCTCAGATTCCAGGCATTTTAGATGTGTGTAGATACATTATTATTCAAAATATTTATGATTATGTATGACGATCAATTTAAATATTTTGTAGATTTACACCGTTCTTGGCTTCAAAGCTGGGGGTTTCGGGCTCGTAGAACAACACTCAAAATTGAATCCCAGCTCGTATTACTATGCGTTTGACTATCAAGGAATGTGGTCAACGTATCTAGTAGCTGCTAACAGTGGGACACCCGTTCCTGGAGGCGTGGCACACGTGGACGACTTGATGTATCTGTTTCAACTCTTCCCCTTATTTTCACAGGAAGATATTGAAGTTACAAAAAGATATGTGGATTATTGGGTCAATTTTGCGACATTCGGGTAATTTCTAGTTGATAATACGTAGTAAATGTGTTATAATATCGTAAAATTATGCTAGGAATCCTAACGGCCAAGGAGACGCTGACACACCTTTTCCCAAATATTCTGCTGCAGATCACAAATTTCTGATCATCAATACAACCGATTCGGCTGGGACGTGGTGTCGTGATAGTTGGATCAATAATTCATTAGAACTTATGTAAATTAAATCGTTTAAAAAAAGATATTAAAATCCGTGTTTTTGAATTCGAAATTTTTAAATAAGCTTCTTTTAAATGTGATAAATACAATCTAACATATAAACTAATTAACATTGCATAACTGCCCGACAAAGACACCATAAAAAACTAACTACATGGATAGACGCTGAAGGACATGATGATCAAAAAGTCGGGCCCTTTTCAGACACAATTCGTCTGGAATTTCATTACATGCAATGTAATCTTGTCATCATTTCCAAGAACATGAATGTCAAGTTCTCAATTGCTCCATATATGTATAATTAAACTATTTTATCTATTAAATTGGTCAATTATAAATCAAACATTGATTATTACATACATCAAATACTTTCTAATCAATATGTCACTCCTCTTTCACTGATTACATATCTAACCTTTGCTCGTCATTTCTTTCCTGCACATCGAAATCAATACCAACCCACGCAGACAGTAGTAGTGGTGGTGGTGGTACTGGTTTGGCCATAATTTTTCAAAATGATGCCTAAAATTTTGTCAATTGTGTGTTTTACTTTCTTGGCGACTTTTGCATTCGGTCAGGAATCGTCAACTTCGTTTCCCTGGCCAAGTTTGCCAACTTTGCCACCGGATGCCATAGTTGATGCGGGTGATTTGGGCGAAATACAAGGAGCCTACACTTATACTTCCCCCAATGGGAAAAGGTTTTATTGGTTTGCCGGCATCCCCTATGCAGATCCTGCATCTTATACGGGCGATAACCGGTTTAGGGTGAGGTTATACATATGCAAATTAATATCCATAAGTTGTGGCGTAAATAAATAATTTTTGATACGCAGCCATCTTCTCTGGTGACGGGCCCACTTTCATCGGATAAGCCATTTCCTGCCGTAAACTTTCTAGTTACCTGTCCTCAACGAGACATTTTCTACCGGACCAATACGAATATGAGTGATCTTGGCGAGGTAATGCAGACCTATAGGAAAAGTCTCACTAGGAAAAGTCGAGAACAATTTAAGGCCAGTCCGAGATGGATGGGAGATGAGGAATGTTTGGTCATTAACGTGAATACCCCAAAGGTTGAGCATCTCTTAATTTCAATTTAAAAATTCGAGTTAGGTAATAAATTGTGATATCTCTGCATGCAGATTCCAAGTGCAGGGGACACGACGCTGCTGCCCGTACTATTTTTCATCCACGGAGGATCCTTTGATTCAATTTGGGGAGGAATATTTGGTATGGTTTATTTTATCGGGGTACATAAATCGCCAAATGATGCATTTTATTATGCACTCTGTAGGCGGACATCGATTCATTAATAGAGACGTTGTGGTTGTAACAATAAACTATAGACTTGGACTTTTGGGTACTTAATTCATTTTAACGACTTATTTCCGGATAAGGGAAATATGTAGTAGTATATATTTTGGTAATATTTAGGTTCTTTAAACCTTGGAGTGGACGAAGCGCCTGGAAATGCAGCAATGTAAGTATTTTTAACAATGCTCCAATCTTATTTGCATTAAGATCTACACGGGGACGAAGAGAACTACAATTTGTCACCATCGTGGCATTAGGTACGATGTGATCACTGCTTTAGAATGGACGCAAAAATACATTCATCACTTCGGAGGAGACAAGGATAGTGTAACCGTATCTGGTAAAATGCAAAACACTACTTGAACCGTGTCAACTATTTAACAGACCACAATCATTAATCATTAATCATTAATATTCTCCAACTACTTGAATTAAAGGTCACTCAGCTGGGTCCGTCATGGCCACGCACCTTCTCACGAGTCCTTTAACCAGAGATTCCAACCTATTCCACAAAGTCATCGGACTTTCCGGAAGTTCTGTGAGTGCATGGGCCACGTGTACAGATCCTGCCAGCAATTATTTGAGAACGGCGAGACATGCCAACTGCAATCAAACTGATAATACGGAAATTGCGTTATGCATGCGAGGGAAATCCATTGACGAATTAATGCAAGCTCTGAACAACTGGGAGGTCCCAACACCATACGATTTGAAATTAAGCGTCTAAAATATTTTGGTCTGATAATGACACTAGATTTTGTTTTATAGGGTGAGGAAACAGCGCAAGGAAAATTTGGCTTTGACGCTAAAATACCATCCCTGCAAACCTCGCCATTACCGAATACACCAATTTTTATGGACGAAACTCCACTTCAAGTGTTTCTTCAAGGGAGACAGAAAGATGTTCCAGTGATGCTTGGAGCTACGCGGCATGATGGATCATTTGTAATGGAAGGAACGTACGAAGACTTTCTCCTGCGACAAGGATGGCTGGACGACATGACGAAATTGAGGAACGAGTTTTTCCCTTTGCTGTTAAACGGGCTGGGTTAGTTTTAACTGTTACAATTCGTTATTTTCACTAATTTGCATAATTGGTTTATTTGTAACGTAATTAGGAATGGAGGATACCACTGGAGGAGCAATGCTGCATTCCATGGCGCACACGTATCTTGGACCCGACGCAATGAATTCGGACAATTTCACCGATATGATTCCCGGAATGATTGATGCGAGTCAATTTAAACTATTTAATTGTATAAATTGGTATTTATTTAGTTTACTAATCCATTTTTCCAGATCCATTCCGTTATCGCATTTAAAGCTGGTGCTTACAATTTGCTGGAGTTACATTCGAAAGTAAATCCGCAAAGCTATTATTTCGCGTTTGATTATTATGGGTTTTGGACGGTGGACGGAGGAGATGTGATTCCCGGAGGTAAGTCATTCACCATGAATCACAGTTCCCCCTTTAACTTACAAGTTATTGATAAATATTTTCTTTAACTTGATTATTTCAGGAGTAAGTGGAATATTTTACGAAATATCGCTTGAAAATTTCATCAGTAAGTTATTATGTAGGTTGGGCATATAGACAGCATTTTCTACCTTTTCCAAGCATTTCCTTTGGTCGTTTGGCCACCTGATTTGGCCGTCAGCAGGCGTTTTGTAGACTACTGGGTCAACTTTGCAGAATTCGGGTACGCATTTTCATCTAATCGGCGTTATAGTTTAGCAAATCATAATTGATGAACTAATCTTTCGTCAGAGATCCAAACGGGCCAGAAGGATCTGACATTTTATTTCCACCCTACGACCCACACACTCACACGTACCTCATTATCAACGGATCAGATAAAATTGGCTACAACTGCAGAGATAGCTGGATTGATAACTCGATTGAAATCAAAGATAATCAACGACCTGGGTGGTGGCCTGGTCCAACATTGAGACCAATCATTTCAACACCGTCTGGTTCTGATACTCCTCCAACCACGACACCAGGATCTTCAGATTCAACAACTACACCTGGGTCGTCAGATGCCACTACGACGTCCGGATCTTCAGACGCCACAACGCAACCACCACAAGACACAAGTACAAGTACTAATCCGACCTCAACAAATACCGGTGAAACGTCCCCAAGTAGCACCACCGAGTCAGGAGACAGTTTCGCAAATTATACCAAACCTTTCAAATTTGTAATCTTTCTGTTCGCAATTGCTACTATTTTTCATTAACTGGAGTGCGTATTAAACAAATGAGTGTCATTTTGAATTTATTTAATTACACACGAGACAACATTTATTCAGACAATAACACATTTCAAATTTACATTGTCGCCAAATTGAGATCATAATATATTTGTATGCAACATTTATTTTGCTTTGACATTTTTCTTCTTTTTCGGCTTTTCTTCACCGCCACCACCATTGATGACCACTGCTTTCTCCTCATCCAGTTCTTCAGCAATAGTGTCAGTGAAGTTATCCTTCCTCTCAAAATATTCATAATTCAAACATTCTTCCGCATGCTGAATTGCGTTCTCTGGATCTTTCTTGAACATGAGAAACAATCCTAAAGAAAAAAAATAAAATAGCGTCAGTTAGCTTTATCTGAAAATTCATGAAATTGAAACCGCTTTTAGAAATCCTTTACCTTGAATTGCAGCCATTGAGATCTTTTTGTCCATTCCCATCAAAACGTGCAGAAACGTATCGGCCAAGTCGTCACTCGCTTTGGGATAGAATCTCTTGAACATTTTCGTAATTTGATTTGCAGTCGGGTAATCTACATGGATCCGAATATCAACTCGTCCCGGTCGGATTAAAGCAGGGTCCAATTTATTGATATGATTCGTTGTAATAAACAAGATTCTGCCCTCGGTTGAAGCCACGCCATCGAGAGAATTCAGCAATCCGCGAAACGTGACCTTTGACGCTCCAGCTCCTTCATATGCCAAATGCGACGTTCCATTACCGTTGTCCTCGCCTTCACGACTTTTGAAAGCTGCGTCCACATCCTCCAGAAGAATTATGCACTTGTCCGGAGTAGAATTCATCAACCGGTTGAGTTCATCGTCCGTGAGATCCTTCGCAGAGAGGGACAGGATGCAGATGTCGTATCCAATTTCACCAGCAATGGCTCTGATAAGACTGCTCTTTCCAGTGCCGGGTGGCCCATGGAGAAGATAACCGCGTCTGTACGGGATTCCTCGATCCATGTACCAATCTTCAGAGTCTAGAAACTCATTGACATCCTTCAACAGCATTTCCTTCACACGTCCCGCAGTGATGACGGAGTCGAGGAGACGCCTTCGTTTCGGCTGTCCGAAGGAGTTCCAGTCACTGCAAGAAATGCAGTAGAAGGCGGTTTTCTTCTCGTCGTGATCCCTCTGACTTTCCTTCGCCTCGGTGAGAAGTTCGTAGAGCAGGTGTTTGTTCCATTTGTACGTGGACAAGGTGATGAACTCGAAGGGGACCTTGTCGCAGACTAGTTCGGGTTGCTGTCTCCGCTCAATCCTGACCCAGTGGGATTTGTACTGAATGTAATGAATTCCAAAGCCGGGTGGGGAAATGAATTCGTAGTCTTCCTTCCCGTTTTGAAGTTGTTTACTGGAAAGGGTAACGCTCCGATTTTTAAAGTCGTCCCCCATATAAGGTTCCAAGACTTTGAGGAGGGCTTGATATAATTTGTCGTCATTGTGGTAATAAGTGTGACGCATGGTGGCAGCGAGTCGAATTTCAGCCTGGAAAATTTGCAGATAAATTATTATGACTTCCATCTTTTCATAAATTGAGAAGCAAATTATTGAAAATTGGAACATTGAATTACACGAAAATAACTAAAATTTCGAAAGTTTTCTAACCATGAGAGAGTCATTGCACCGCCGGAAGAATCCAGAAATAATTCTCAGCAAGATCCACCCTACGATTAAAATGGTCCCAAGTGCAGTGCCGAGAAAGAAGAGATTCTCCAGCAAATATCCGCCACTACCGGACGCCATGATTTCTTCAAACGGTCAGCGGAATAGGATCGTCTTGCTCTCTCAAATCCCAAACCTCGACTAAACTTTAGACGGAAAATATCCCAATATTTATGTAGCTGAAAAACGTCAGGATTATTATTCGTTTTTTAAATGTCAGAGTTAATAAGACTTTTCATTGTCCTGCAAGATACACACACCCAAATTCATGCAGGGAAATGAGTCATTTTCACATAGATGTTAAGCAGGTAACATGCAACCGGCTAACAAGTCATGATAAATTGCATGTAATAAAGTAATATGTATGTACATACGTTCAACTAACAAACTACGCAAGCAGAAACAACAATATCAGAATGAACGAACCCAATTCTACGTATTACCGAAACGTTTTTAGATTGCAAGTCTGCCAACGATTCGCAAAAAAATTGCACAGTAGTGACTCTGATGTTACTCACTCCTTACGTGGTTTTGAGTAGACTGCAAAACTTACAATGAGCCACACAACTGGGTTTAACTATGACAAAGTAGAATGACACACCTTGTACAAGTTGTACTTATCTTGTCGTAGATATGCACTGGTTTAAGTGCATCCGAGAAATGGCAAAATATGCTACTAGATAAGTCTTATTTGTGTAATAAGCTTTGTCTCGGCTCGGAAGTTAATGGTAATAAATAAAATGGTCGCTTTCGCTGTTAAACAAATTCTGTACGCATCTCACTTTCAGACAGAATTTCATGTCTCACACGCAACGTGGGTGTTATAAATACTATCGATTAATTGATTATTTTTCCATGTTCTGATAACACCTCCTGAGCAACTTTTACATAGTTCGTAGTGAGCAGGAGCTAAGTAAGTGTCGTCTAACGGATGTAGACAAATTTATTTAAAAAACTATGTAGGTCATTAAATAGATCGATTATCGATGGATTGGATAAGCAGTTTTGTGGTTTGCTATCACGTGTTAGCCAAACAAACAATTCAATTCAGCTTTGGGTTTGGCACCAGTGTGTAAATGCCACTATCGAAGTGTCGACCCATGAATTTTTTAGTGTCCAGAAATGTGGACAGAGACAGACACACATGAAAATGTACTCGGAGTTTGACAAGGGGACATAAGTTGAGACACGATTCATAGGAAGGCATATTCTTGCATGGAAAAAATTGCAGAATAAAACATACTCGTATGTACATACACAAAACATAATTATAAATAAATATAGACATCTTAATCTAGTCGTAGCAAAAAAATCATGAACAAATACGATGACTATTTAGATTCGTAGTAAATCCTGATCAATTGCTCATTAATCGCAGTCAACTACATGAATGTATATATTATCTACATGTAATTATTAGTTCATTATTGTCCTTGTCGATCTGTAGCGTCGTAGATCCTAGATTAATTGCATTAAGCAACAAATTTACATACAATGACAACAACACACGATTAAATTTACTGAACAAATTAAGCTTTTAATCCAATTCATACCTTTTTGGAATGCGTACAAACATGAGAACATACTGACATTGCATAATAACTTCAAAGTTGTTTTTCTTTTGCTTTGTCCAGCAAGTAATTTCTTTTCATGCAACTGAAATGTGTTCCTGTTCTTCAAAAACCAGCCGCCCATTGTTTCTTCCTCTCATTACTTTCAAATCACTTATTCCCAGGCCTCGAGGCAATGCAATTATTTCTCGGATTATGCGATAATTTCGATCCTCAGATGCGGATTGTTTCCCTTCAATCTGCCAATTATTATGGTATTTTAATGTATTGTCTAATTAACGATTGGATGAAAAACATTAAACATTGCATTACAAAGATTTTGGTCTTGCAGTATTTGATGGTGATCTCTTCTGGTTGGAAGCCACGGATATCAGCCATTCTTCGAAAGTATCCAGTAACAAATGGATCAATCCGTCTGTAAATAATTTAATATTTGGAATTTATTTTGAGCGCATTAGTAGCTCTAAAGTAAATATTCAAATGAGTTACATATTTACCTTCTCGACTCTGAAAGTGGGGCAAAAGTATTGATCGGTTTTTGCGAAGCTTCCATAGGGCAAACTTTTCCTTGGAAAATGAAACAGTTCTTGATGTCTTGGATGGGGTCAACGTTCGAGCGTGAAATCCATGGCGTTGTGAGATCCGAAATGTTCCCATTCGTACTTTTTCCCCTCTTAAGTTTGGAAGTTTCTCTTGACATCATCCAAGCCCAGTCGTCAATGTCGTCATCATCGTTCTCGGTGTTTGTACTGATACTCTTCTTTTTTTCGGGGGTCATAAAATCTGCAGTGATCTCGTCTTGATGAGCATCCACACTTTTTGTAATGCCGTTCTCAACCATCATGCCCTTGAGCAGCATGTGGAGAAGAATGTCGGAAACCTTCTTCTGTACTTCAAGCGGAGGTTTCTCGTCTGCAGGTTGTCCAGAAACATATCGAGGTGACCTGGGCGTCAGTGTTCTTGGGGTCAGATTTTTTTCAGAGTGCGGCGTGGTTTTCTTGCTGCTGGCGGAAGTACGCTTTGAAGATCGGACTGGACTTGTCGTTGGGGTTTGAGGTGGGACTTTCTTTGATACTGAACCACGGCCACTTTGTTGGTGAACAATTTTGTTAACTTGCGACCCCACTTTAAAACTTCTCCTGCCAACAGACTGATCAAAAAGGATTCCAATTTTTCTTTGAAATGCAGGCGTATTCATCTGTTTTCGGGTAATTGTTCCGTTTGTTGCCAACTTTTCTAATGCTAGCTGAACCCAGCGTGCCTTCTCTGGGGGAAACATACCTTCCGGCATTCTGACCATGATTCGAGAAGAAGAATCTTGATCGTCATCATCATTTTGTTGAATCTTTGATCGGGTGAGACTTTCACTTGGTCTGCTCCAAACTTCTCGTTGGTTTGTTCCAGGAGGAGATTCTTTGGCGCAGAGCTTTGATTGTGTGGCTACAAAATTGTCCGCTTGAAACCTGGGGGCGAGAACTATTTGTGTTTTCATACTGGTTGCGGTTGAAATTCCCACAGTACTTGCAGCATTTTTCGCATATTCGGAAGCATTTGGTGGAATAATGAGCTTATTTTTAGGTGGATCAATTTTTCTTTGTGACTTGACAGACTCGTTGGGTTTATGTTTCGGTTTTGCCATGTGTATCATTTCCAGGTGTGGTTCCGTACTGGCAGCAACAGCAACTTCAGACGACTCATTTTTAGTAGTTCCTGCAGTCTTATTCCGTGGCTTATCATGAAATTTTGACGAGTTTCCAGTGCTGGTGATAGTCTCATTAGTGCTGACCGCGTCCAACAAGGGCGACGGTGAAGTGGTCACACGGATCTTGGACGCGCTTTGGCTCTGTTTTGGCTGCAAAGATTTCCTGGTGGTTGTTGGATTTTTGGGATTCCTTGATTTTACTATTGCCGATCGTGGACGACTGCTTGGAGTAGAAATTGGACCTCCGGATTGTGATGATGTAGTATTGTAACGTGGGAAAAGCGTCAATTCTTCATTGGTAGCAATTGTAGTGGATTTCAACATGGGATACATTTTTTGTGGACAAAAATTAAGGATGCCTGTTTATAAATATTCATGACAGGGACTTAGACAAGGGGAATTTCATTGCGAAATATATTATTATTTATTGGTAGTAGTTACAAAAAGCATGCCAAGATACCATGATTACTATTACGTCGCATTACACCTGCATACTCGTAAAAATAGCTTGAAAAGGTTACCCTCTTGTATTACATTTTTTGTCGCCAATTCAAACTAAACAATCATTCTTGCTTGATCATTGCTTGATCAATTTCTTATGTCAAAGTTATGCAAGGTGTGTTTAATTATATTGCATTGCATTTCCATCGCTGTATTCAAATTGGTGATCACCATGAAGATGCAGCTATAGATAGATAGAAGAGCCAAGGCCACCTAAAACTGTTACAAAAGACCGACCGAATGAACAAATCAAATACACGCACTTTTTATTCCTCGTTAGGATTAGTGGCAAAAAAGTGCAGAATACAAATGTTCAATGTTAGTTTGTACATAGTTAGTGGGAGCTGGGACACCTTATGAATTAACCATTACACAAACTAGCATCATTTCATGTATGAGTTTACAATCGTCACATCCTTTACTGCCTATTGTAATATCATAGCTTCGAGATCTGGGTAGTAAGTAATTGCAGCTGGGTTCATTTAGATTTGGAACTTAGACCGAGTTGGTCGTAAAAAAGGTTCGCCAAAATCTGCAAGCAATTTGTATGTTAGTATTTGGTTCTCGGGAGATCCAATGTCGCAATAGATCGAAATCAACTATTTTCAGGGAACCCGAAAAAATACTCGATTAATTTAATTTATCAAGTGTTTTCAAAACTCACGAGTTAAAAACATAGTTTACAACAAGTGATTTGTGAGGATTCTTGATACGTGACGATCGTGACGATAGACAAAATTTTTGCATGTGCAGAAAACATTCGTGCCTTTTCATGGAAGTCGAGTTATGCATTTGGGTTGGGAAAATAAACGTGATATTTGTCGTAAACATTAAATAATACAATTCTCGTCTCAATTATCCAGTTTAGCTTGTGAGAGTTTATCTATCTCATATGTCAATAACCATTAAAAGCCGTTCAAATATATTTGTTATTATGTACGAATGAGTATACATGAAATATAACCGACTAATAAAAACATGAGCTGAGAAAGAAAACCTTAATTTTCTCACTGGAAAAATCTGCAACAACCGAACATCGTCACGTTCTGAAATCTACCCAGTTTTATATTATCGTAATATCAAAGTTGACTTCAAACGGTAACATAATCAGACTGACATTCAATCTGAACACATCCAATCGTCAATCCGGGTAAATTCGGGTAACAGAAAAAAATGTGGGAAACCACATCTCGGGAACTTTGAAAAACTCGTGAGATTCTGAGTCATACATCGTCTTACTTCCACAATAATATTAAATTGTATAGTTTTTAGTGTAATCTGTGCTAAAAAAAGAGTAGAATTATTTTCTCAATTAAGTAAAATGTCTCATATTCCCAACCCCGTCGTCATATTTTCCACTGGAGCGTTGCTTCTCGTGGCGACGATTCTTTTTGGATGGGTTCTCGTCCCAAAGTTTATCCAGGATCAGATTCGAGACGTAAGTTTTTAACAATTTAAATTTAAAGTGGAAAATGAAATGAGGAAATTTCCATTAAGTTATCATTATTCGGTTCAAGAACAATTTTCACAATTGGCAATTGAGGAAAACAAGTCTGCATATAATTATCAAGTGCTTTTTGCTCATGCATTGCATTTTTACGATACGTTGAACCGAACACCGAACTGTTTATATTAGTCAAAACTTTATTGTAATGCAAAATATTATGCAAATTTTTATTGATTTAACTGCGTGAAACTATAGTTGTGAGAATTATTTATCATCGTAGGAGCATAAATAAAAAGTTCAGTCATCTCTTCAGTGTTTGTTGAGTGTTATAAATTTCGTGCTAATTAAATTAATGATTTTCATCTCGTTGTATAGCAAGTCAAGTTGCGAAACGGCACCGAGGTGTTCGAAAAGTGGGTAAACGTCCCCATTCCCATCTACTTTAAGGTGTACCTGTTCCACGTCACAAATCCTGAAGATGTTGCAAAGGGCCAAGATCCAAAATTACTCGAAAAGGGGCCTTATGTTTTCAGGTGGGTACTTTAAAGTCAAACTAATCGGTAAAACAGACGAAAATACTAAACAAATTAATTTACAGAGAATTACGAGAGAAGATTGAATTGCAAGAAAATATTGCGGAAGGAATTGTCAAGTACAAGGAGAGAGTAACGTATTTTTTCGATCCTGAGCGATCCGAAGGTCTCAGCGAAAATGATGAATTGACTATTTTAAATATTCCTTATGTGGTATGCTCGTCTGGCTTTATGACCATTTTACGATTCAATGTCCAGTCATAATAGTAAAATTATATTACTTACTTGCTTAAGGCTATGGCTCAAAAAGTGTCAGAGCTAACGTATCCCCTCAACACGATCGGTACCACGTACATCGTAAAGTTCAAACAAACGCCTTTCATTAAGAAGACGGTACGAGAAATATTATTTCAAGGTACGTTTAGTACTTTTCCATACATTATGTTCCAGTAATTAGTATTTTAACTAATCTATGTGTTACTATCATGATTCTAGGATGGCATGTGCCAATGGTCGCAGAGTTGTCAGAATTTCTTGACCAAGAGTTGATGCCAAATAACACGTTTGGATTATTTTATGGGGTATAATTTATCATATTGAAAATAAGTAGAAGTCGATGATACCGCTTTCTCATAATGCTTTGATGTGCCTGAAATTTCAGAAAAATGGGACAGACGATGGTTTCCTTGAAGCTGATGCTGGATTATCGTCAGTTGAAAACTTTGGGAAAATAGTATCTTGGAGAGGTCACAAGGAATTGTCGTGGTGGAAGGAAGGGTCCCATTGTAACGAACTGCTCGGAACTGATGGCTCGATATTTCCCCCTTTCGTTACGAAAAAAAGAGTTCTTCGCATATTCAATGCTGAACTTTGTCGCTCATTATTCCTAACTTTTCAAAAAGAGGTGACCTTCTTGGGGATTCCTGCGTACCGATTTACAGCACCGAAAGAAATGTTGGAAGACCCTCGAACCAATGTTGACAATCAGTGTTATTGTCTGGAAGATGAGCTGGAAGATTGTATTCGTGGTGGAGCACTTGATTTAGGGACTTGTCGAGACGGTAAATTTATATTATTCTTGGTATTAATGAAAACCTTATGAAGAATGGCTTGAAATATTTAGGGGCACCGGTGGCCATGTCCACGCCACATTATCTGGACGGATTTGAGGGGTACAACAATAAATCTGGGTTGATTCCAGATAGAGAGAAACATGGAACAATCGTTGATATTGAACCTGTATGTTGCAGTTGTAATTCTTGAAGATTTTTTTCACTCTAATGCTAATTGTGAGTAAATGATTTGCATTTACATATTTAGACAACCGGAATTGTTCTCCATGCTCATAAACGGATTCAAATCAACATCATTTTGAAACCGGTGGGAAGCATCCGTTCCTTATCAAAGATGCCAGATATGTTTTTCCCTGTCGTTTGGGCAGATGAGGTTAGTAAATAATTTGAATCACAATATCAACTCATTCTAATTTACTTGATTTGTCATATATGTATGTATATGCAGACGGCAGAATTAGATGAAGAACTCGCTCAGCAATTGAAATCGCAACTGATAACTCCACTGATAACGCTAGAAATTACAAAGTGGGCCGTCTTTGGCATTAGTCTTTTGCTAATTTTTTCCGCCTGCCTTCGTTGGGTGTCTCGACCTAAACCCGAACGACATGACCCGGAAAGTACGGATAAAATGTTACAAGTTGACGGAATCTCTTTCAATGCAAACAATGGTACAAGAATTATTCGTAGTGAGAAGGAATTATCCAAGGACAAAATTAGTGCCCCACTTCGGCCATTTCTAACTTAAGAACGTCAATATACATTCCAAAGTTTTTTTTTACTCCGAAAATGTTATATACACAACGAAACAAACTAAAGAAAACTCTATTGCCTTAATGATTATGTGCGTACTTCCAAAGTAAAATTTTATGAAACCATGTAGAAGACTGTTATTGAATCAGAAACTGTGATAGTGTATAAGTTTGAATGATTTTAGAATATTACAAACTTGTACACGTTAGTATTTAAGATTATCGAAATTCCAGCCAATGTTATCCAATTTTCTGACTGATTTATGTAAATATAAATCGACTGTATCTACGCTCGGCAATGCGATTAAGTAGATAAAAATGTTGTGAAACGGTCTAGGAGGACTATTTTGTAAACTTTACAGTTTTATTTTGCTTCGCCAAGCTTAAGTAGACAACCATAAATCTAATAAAATGTAGTTAATTATTACATACATGAAAATTTTTGTTGATTTTGTATTCCCACATTTCATACATGCATACATCACTTATCACTAAACGTTTTGTACTGTATGACTGGAATTGACAGTCCAGGGAACACATTCAGCCCATTACAATTGACATTTTCGTTCAAACATAAAACAATTATTTTAATCCTCGTGAATCGGAATTGATACCGAATTACCATGCTGCACGTGCCATTAAACTAATCGACATTACTTACCAATCGTCCCTGATACACCAATTATCCAAAGTGTGATATATACCCATCCGCATATTGATGCCATCAGGGTAAGTAAATGCGACGCACATCAACATTAGAAATCCCTCGAGATTATCCTGACTGCCACAACTATCAATCGATTCCTCATCACAAGCAAAGTCTCCGGGGACGAAATTTCTCCTGAAATGTAACCCACGCTGGAGAAAGCAATACTTAAAGTGCAACGAGTATCATTAAGATAATCGACATCAGTAACTAACTACATAATCAATATGTTGTCAGTGTGGTTAATGAATTTTTGTGCAAACATGCTTTCTCCATAAATAGAACGAACCGACGCCTATGAATTCTCAAACACAAAAGTCATTACGACTTATCTCTTCAATTCATTTTAATTTATCACCAACTCAAATTTCAAAGCCAAAATGTTTTTCAGAAACCATCCTCATTCCGTCATCATTATTCTCATCCAAACCTTCTCAACACTTGCTGCTCAACGTCTCATCTCCACAACTTCTGCCCTTATAGAAAATCAAATCCCACAGCACAACTTTCTCCCAAAAACAATGTTCTTTTACAATGGTCATGCCGCATCCAATCAAACTCCGGAAAATCTGGTCACTGACGACTCCTTGGAAAACGTGCTCCCTGATTTGGAAGGCTACCCCGCAAGCTACCTTCCCCTCATAATTGGCAATTTTGGCAAAACTATACGAAAAGTGCACACTCATCTGACCTCATTTATATTTCTCGCCGTGCTCAACACCCCTCCAGAAATGGAAAAGTTTATCCATGATAACGGAAACCGTAGGAGGGATCGTTTTATTTTCGTAGGGGCTGAACCATCTCTCCAGATTCTATTCCGGACCGAGGTTATTCGAGGTCTCAAAGACAAGATTGGATTAGTAGTCACCCCACAATTATTGAGTGATGATGACCCCACATCAGTCCAACTTCTCATCGATCCCATCGTGTATAATCCCAGAGGACAAATGGAGTCAGCGTTTCTACCCCATGGACAAGATTTGTTCCAAATATTGGCCGTCAGACCTCTCATGGGTCGTAATTTAAGAGGACGCCATTTGAAAATTAGTGGTTGTCTCCTTCCAACCTGGCTCTATCGCATCTCTGACGAGTCCTCACCTCAAGGCGTGCAACATGACGGGTCCAACTATCGCATCTTTCTCGAAGCCTCACTCAAATTCAACTTTTCTTTCGAAATTGACGCTCCCGTTGGTCAAGGATATGGTTCATACCTTCCAAACGGAACTTGGACCGGGATGGCGGCCAATCTATATTACACCGAGAGGAATTTTGATCTAGCCATTCTCCTCGGCCATGTCCAAGGATGGTTCCACTTCGTCGACTTTGCTTCGCCCCTCGACTTTGCGAAACTTGTCTTCGTCACGGGTCGGGCAAAGATGGAGTCCAACTCGGAAAGCTTTATTCAACCTTTTCAACGAGAAGTATGGTTCGCCACCATTGGAATTTACGTAATTATCTCCATCACTGTGTTTGTACTCCTCCTCGTCAAAACGTGGAGCAAGTCGAGTCACAAATGGACCGTTAGAGACGCCGCTTTCATGGCAATAACGACGCCATATTCTGTCGCGTTAGAGCAAGCTTTGTCTAAAGTACCGAAAAATGTCCGCCTTGTCGTTGGTCTTTGGATGATTGCGACAATCACGACTGGGACGGGGTACAGGTCAAATTTAGCCTCATTTCTTAGCGTCCCCACCATTCCATCCGTTCCGACAACTTTCTCCGCACTCGCGTCGGATCCAGAGTATCGCGTGGTTCTGAACAATTTGGGTGTCGCAGAGGCTCAATTTTTCGAATTCAGTGAAAATCCTACGATTAAAGTGATCAAGAAAAAGTTGGGCTACAATCCTGACACGGTGAATTGTGCGGCGAATGCTTTCCTCTTGAAGAAAATGGCATGTGTTGCGTGGACCCCGATTATCACGGCCGTGGTGTGGAGCTCACTGAGCCTAAAAACGAGAATTGAGCCGCTCGTGTATTCAACCGAGCCGGCACTTCCGGTCAGCATGTCGGTCGGATTTCTTAAAGATTCCATCATTGTGGATGCAATAACACCGATTACGGCGGTCCTTTATGAGACAGGGATCTACACCAAGGCACTTATTATCTCTTATTAATGTATGTACCTACATGCATATCCTAATGGCTAAATTGACTGATTGGTTAATTCCAGTGGACGGACGAAGGGTATGATTATTTCAAGCTTATTGGGAAACAAAATCTCGCCCAGACCGATAAGAACTCTGAGCTTTACTTGGGACTCAAAGAGTTTGAGGAGTCGATAATGTCGCTTGGTTATCTCAAACCGTTCAATTTGGAAAATCTCAAGATCCCATTTTACGCCCTATTGTTCGGGTTGGCCATCTCATCCCTGGGTTTCGTGTTGGAAAGATGGTATGCTCGACTGACCAAGAGAAGTATAGAACCTCGCACAGGTAAGAATGGAATATTTGTGCTCAATCAGTTGGGACAGTTGGAGTTTCAAATTAAATCGGTTAGGTATTAATGCAATGTGTAAATTAATAATAAAATTGCTTCAATAAAATCAGTAGAGTTGTACATATTTATACGTTTATTTAATTACATATAAATTTTACTCTTAATTTACAATTTTTTCTTATATTTAAGTTATAACAATAGTAAATTAATTACACAATTATTTCAAGACGTACAAAAAAAGTTCATCCAATTTCACACATACACAAAAATACTATTATTTCCTCTAAAATTTTAGACCCTTCAAAGCCCGATGAAGTTCATCCATGAGGTGAATATGACGAATAAAATAATCTCCATATCTTCTCCCTACTTTCGTATCGGCGATGTGAACCATATCTTTATCAATGTAGAAATCTACTTCGGAACCAGCCATGAAGTCTCCGTCTAAAGATGATACGCCCTTTGACCAGACAATGTTGTGCATCTTATGCTTAAAACAAAGTAAACATTCCATCAAGGTGTTGTGATCCAGTTCCATGAAAGCAGCCAATTTTGACACGGGCATTGTTGTGTACAGCTTTAAGAAACTGGAAATAGATAACACATTTAATTATTAATCAGAATAACCACCAATCATGGTCAAATTAATGATTTAGAGTGCAAGTTGTAGTCAGTTGATTTGCAAAAGCAAGTTTGAATCACGGTTACACGGCTCATTAGAGGTGTCAGAATTTGAATCATCATGTACAAAAACACAAAACGGGGGGACAAAATATATTTACAGTTTTGAATTACAACATACCTGCGAATGGTTGGAAGATAAATTTGTTGGGCAACTTCTTCCATGAAAATGCTCTTTTGAATCTGGAGTGGTTCTTGACTTGGGTCTGGAGATGCATCAATCGCGGGAGGTACAGGGGACAAGAATTTGGGACACGCGAAGGTGAAGCAGTTTTCAAATTCCTATAAAAACAGGGACCCAAATAAAATTAGTAGTTTTCTATATAGATAGACGCACAAAATAGGTTACAATTTACAATATTTTAGTCATAGTTGTGACTTATGTTTTCGGCACACAGAAATCCATATTTTTTAGGCAAGCTGTGCTTCCTACACTGTCAATTTGTTACTTTTCCCTTTCCATTGTACTTTAAAGTACACTGGCACCAATGATATCATTTGACAACTTGGCGTGGCGTAAAGGGTTAATACTAATCCTACCCAATCATTAGAATTATTTCAACTGCTTATACAATTTACCTTCATGTCCCCTTGTTGCATTTTAGAAATCTTATCAGCATATTTCCTGTCTTGCAGGACAGAATTTATAGACTCGTCAATGGATTGGGGATGGAGGACCAAACAGATGGCCAACATGGTATACATCTGATCAGTTTGTTTGTTCACCTGCAATCATAAGAACAGTTGACATTAGTCACTTATCGAGTCGAGAGTCTGAAAGTGAGATTTAGGAAGTTCGTGGATTCTTAAAGGACAATTTTGTGGCTTATGTTTTCGGCACACAGAAATCCATCTTTTTTAGGTAAACTGTGCTTCCTACACTGCCAATTTGTTTCTTTTCCCTTTCCATTGTACCTTAAGGTACACTGGCACCAATTAAGCCTATGGAAAGGCAACTTGGCGTGGCGTAAAGGGTGAACTATTAATAACAGTATTTTTAAACGAATAAATTTTACCTGATCATTTTGATACGACTTTGCTTGGAACATTTGTCTCATTCTTTGGATATAGAGGAGCGCATTGGTGTATGTTCTGATGGCATCAGCATATCGACGCATCATAACATACGCGAATCCTACATAGTAATAGGTCGTGATTTGACACGCTGGTACGTTGCAGTACATTGTCTGTAAAGAAACAATAATGATGTCAAATTATTTAACGTTATTTAAATAGGGAGTCTTATAAGTTTGTGACTTATGTTTTCGGCACACAGAACTCCATGTTTTTTAGGTAAACTGTGCTTCCTACACTGTCAATTTGTTACTTTTCCCTTTCCCTTTCCATTGTACTTAAAGTACCCTGGCACTAATTTAGCCTATGAAGAGGCAACTCAGCGTGGCGTAAAGGGTAGTCTACTCTGCTCAACTTTTTATATAAAATACTTAAAATTATAATACTTACGTTTTTGTGGAGATCAATATTCTCCAAAACTTTGACTGCCAAATGGTAGTCTCCCAACATGGAGTGAACTCGGAGGAGGGCAATCAAGCTGAAGTAGCCCAACATCTTGTACAAAGGGCTCTTGCCAAAGTCTCCAGCTACAGTTTCGGCGTTCTCCCCATTGAAATAAGCCCTCAACTGTTGATTAATGTTAGACTTCTCAATCAGCGAGTACAAGACATTGAGCACGCTGAGAACGCTCCAGATGTAAGTGTGCTCCTTAAAGTACTGAGATTCTTCAGCATTCAATCTGGGGGAGCGACGAAATTGGGAGAATGATTGAAATTGGTAGACGAACTGTAAAAAACAATTGAGATTAAACGACCTTTTGAACCGACTAGAAATGTCACAATGAATAAGAATTTGTAGACAAACCTCGTCAATTATCTCCCATAACCATTGATTCGTAAGAGTCAAATCGATTGGCTCTGGTGATGCTGTAATTATTAGAACCATACATTGTTAATTTGAGTTATCATTTAAATAACAACAGATTTGTGAAGTTTTTCAATGTGGCTTATGTTTTCGGCACACAGAAATCCATCTTTTTTAGGTAAACTGTGCTTCCTACACTGCCAATTTGTTTCTTTCCCCTTTCCATTGTACTGTAAAGTACACTGGCACCAATTAAGCTCATGAAAAAGCAACTTGGCGTGGCGTAAAGGGTGTACCAATAAATAATACTAATTTAATAATGATTTAGCAAAATAATAAGACTTACTCAATATCATATTGAACAACTCGCAGTAGTTCGAATACGAGTTACATCTATCACTGAACGTCAACGAGTTTGACATCGTGGCGTAAATGTGGCGAAAGTAGAGCTCCCTGTAGAGCGTAGTGAAGAGTGGATCGTCCACCAAATGCGTAATATCCTGTGGCCATTTTTCCTCCTTGAAGTAGTCCCTGGTCAACTGGGGGAACCGGATCTCATACAGGTTCTCAATTTCAGACACGTCCCGATTGTTTATGGATTGATACAAGTGGATGATGAATTTCGCCACGGCATCAGGAAATGAGTAGGACTGCGTACTCGTTCCGCGTGGGTCGTAAAAGTCATCTTTATTTCCAAAATCGCTGTACTGCAAGGTTTTAGACTTTAATAAGCAATATGTTACACAAAATTTTAAAAATTCTAAATATTTACCATGCATATCATTCCACTATTCTAAATACATACCCAACAATGCCGAATATGTTCTAACTACTCAAAAATTTGAAACCTTGACCTACTTTTCTATTATTCGATACCTGATCCGCATGGCCGGGATATCCACCATATTCCTCATCATCGTAAATGCGCCCATCCCGATAAGAGTCCGCCCTGGTGTAGCTATCCTTCCTGTACGAGTCCCTTCTATACGCCATCGTCTTTATCTTCCTTGGTTATCAAAAGAATTTCAAAATTTCCAAAAAACTTTGAAAATTTCCACTTGAAGAAATATAAAATGCCGGCCCGAGTCGAGCGAGGAAGGGAAGAAAGTGACAGTGTGGCATTCGTATTGAACTTGGTGGTGAATTTAGTGCGCGATGTTCAAACTTAGGGATCGCGATTCACTCCATAAAACAAACCGGCCACACTTGATTTTTGATCTCAAGTCATTTAAAAATTAATTTATAGTTAATTAATTAAACTACTTGATTTGATTTAATGGCTCCCCCAAAAAAAGAAGGTGGTTCTTCGTCTTCCACTGCAGTTGCTACGGAAGGAAGTGCCACTGGTCAACCGCAACAACAAGTTATCAACCTTAACTTACTCGAGTTACCGCAACTTCAACAATTTAAGACTCAGGTAGATTGCGATAATTAAATTACTGGTAAATTGTAGAGTCATTTATGAATTGTCTATAACTGTATGGTATTTGTATCGCAGGTGGAACAGGAACTCAACTTTTACCAAGATGCCGTAGTCCAGTTGAAAGATGTCCAGGTCAAAATGTCCGAGTCTCAGTCATGTCTCAAGAAAATAAGCGCACAGGACAAAGAAATGCTCGTTCCTGTTACGGGATCGGTAATTGATAAACAACGATGATATAAGTCCTAAGATTTGTTTTTGTTCAATTATTTCTAACAATTTGTCGTGTATCGTAGATGTTTGTCCGCGGCGAGTTGACCGATGTGAATAAATTAATGATTGATATTGGGACCGGATACTATGTGGAGAAGGTAAGAGTATCACCTGTCATTAAATTAATCTAATCACGATTCGATACAACTGTTTAACATGACATTCTGTTATTTTTGTCATGTAGAACTTGGAAGAAGCCTTGAACTATTTCGAACGGAAAGTAAAATTTCTTCAATCCCAAATTGAAAAGGTCCAGGTTGTTGGGAGAGAAAAGACGCAAATTCGGCAAGGTATCTTAAAAACTTCATTTGACATCACTGTTCAAATAATAATTCTATTGTCTTTGAATTCACAGCGATTTTAGAGATAATGGAAGCGAAAATTCAAGCCCTTCATTCTGCAGGAAAACTCCAAGTTACTCAAGCGAAATAACACAGTTCACATTAATTAATTGATTAATTATTGAATTTTTTAACAGTTTATATACCCAAATAACTGGAAACTGGATAATAATAGGGCAATGTTATCTAATTAATAATTACGAAATAATATCTTTCCAAGATGTGAACTATTTTGACGATAATTTGCATGCAACAATATGTATTAGAAAGAATCACCATAATATTATGTGAAATCATGATCGCTTCAATCAATTTCCTAAAACTATGAGTATTTGTTTACCTTAAACCTTAACTATTCGCTAAAAATGATTTAAACTTTATGAATTAAATCATGAATAATAACCACTGTATTCTATAATAGAATTTCCATTTATAACCCTCGCTGCATTATCAGAACTAGTTAATTATTCTAATTAATGATGATAAAATACTTCAAAATTTTCATACTTGTTGCATCTCATTCTTGCATGCGTCTCATCCAAATTCTCGGCAGAATCATTCCGGGAAAATCATGAATGCATTCAGCGGGATCACATTCATAGTGTCATACACATTCGACGACTTGACTACGTCTGCGACATAAATAATTTTAACTTCGCAATATTTTGACCATATCAAATTACTTGTTGACGTGTTTTGGTAAGTTGTCGCAACCTTCACTCATTTGACGATTATGTTGCATTACAACAAACAAATGTTTTTATCACGTTTTTAAAATTTCAGACTTGGGCTAGACAAGGCCACCGGAATAATAATGAAGTTAAGCTCGGAATCTCTCCTATCACCTCCCACGAACGAGGGGATGACATGTCCCCCTCCCAAGGTGGAACGTGACCCGGGCCCTCCAGTCGAAATAGCGCAGGGATTCCTGAAGACCATCCTCCGTGTTAGGATGAGCAAGGCCGAAAAAGATAAGCAGGACTCTACCGGGAGGAACATGTTTTCAAAACAGTACGCAAGCACTTATGATAATCGACTTTTCATGACCAGATTGATTTTAGAGGAGAAGGTAATATACAAAAATATATAAGATGTAAATAACTACTATTCTATGTAAATAACTACTAGTAGCTTCGATATTGAATCATTAGTAATTTGATTTACCGGCTAGGTCAAGGAAGAATGGCAACAAGGAGACAATCCTCCTCCGTTTCAAAAGATTTCTGACCTTTGTACAGCTACCACTGGGGCACGTAACGTCGCGGATATATCGGGACATTTGCCCAAGCAGGGCAAGGGAGGGAAAAAACTTACCGAGGCAGATCGTGAGCAACACCTTCATATCGATGAAGATCTCGTTGTTGGTGAGACCGTATTTTATATACACGTAATATCAACACATGTAATAAATTGAAACTATATCTGCAGTCATTGTGGGAACCATATTCAAAATACAACCCGAGAAACCTTCAATTCTCAATGAGCTGGCAGAAGATCATGCAATGGTTCCTATTAAAGAAAAGAAGAAATACATTAGCAAAAAGGATTATCTTATTTTAGAAGATGAGTCCACCCGGGTGTTTTTAACCCCTTTAGAAAATTCTGGACTGCGAATTGACTCAGTTGTTAATGGGGTCGTTTGTGCGGTCAAAGGGAGACCAACACTGCAGGGCAGGTTTAATGTGGAAGATGTCATGTGGGCAACTCCGAAACCGGCGATTTGGCCCATTGTGAGGAAACTTGATGTAGAAATGGTGAGAAATAGTGCATATGACAAATTTTACATGTGAAGTGAAGTGATGCATAAATAAGCATATTCAAAACTTTTCAATGCAGATTTTCGTGTCCGGTCTCCTTCTTTGCGATCAACACGACAGCATGTCACATATTGACTTGTTTTTCGATTACCTCCAAGGTCTTTGTGGTTCTCCTGACGAGCTCGAGACGCGATGCAAGTCAAAAACCCGTCTCTTCATTGTTGGCGACACTTTTGGACGTTTGAGAAAGGAGATTTCAGCCGAAAAACAGACAAAAGCAACTTTCACGACGGTAGACCCCGAATCTGTACTAAGGATTGAAATTGCTAAAAAGTTGGACGTCATCTTGGATCAATTGGCTGTAATTAAGACGAACTAATATTTAATAGCATTACTGGCTTGATTATTATTCGAATCTCCATGTTGTTCTTTTTCTGTAGCAAACAATGGAGGTTTACATTCTTCCCGGTGAACTAGACCCTGCCGAACCAATGTTCCCTCAAGCCCCCTTCCATCGATGCATATTGCCTCTCGCCTCCCGTCGCACAATGTTCCACTCGCTGTGTAATCCAACACGAATAGATGTCACAGTCTCCTCAGCTTCCAAAAAGTCGCCAACATCCAAATTGGACATTATCCTTTCCGGTGGACAAAATGTTATCAACGCCAAGAAAAATACAGCCACTCGAAATTCAATCGATACGGCGGAAGATATCCTAAAATGGGGTCATCTCTGCCCCACCGCTCCAGATACGCTGGCTCTACATCCGGACAGTGACGAAGAGGCCCTTGTGCTAACAAGCCTGCCAAACTTTTTTATAGTTGGTGGACAAAAACGTTTCAAAATTCGTGAATGGAAGGGAACCTTTATCGTCACACTTCCAAAATTCTCCGATACCGGTATTGCTGTCATTTTAGATAAAACCATGAACTTTGTCCCCCTAAATATCAAACTCGCCAAGTAGGTTCCGTATTGTACAATTTTATAAATACACTCTTACATATATAATGTTTGTAGTCTCATTCCATAATTTTTATTCAAAGTTAATCCTTTAAAAATGTGTAACAATTTTTTCCATACAATTAAATATCACAGATCAAATTGAGACATAAATAAACTCCTTTAAAGCCAACGTGCACATGGCTGCATTGAAATTGATTTTCTCCACGCTTTCAGAATTCTTAGTCTGTAAATTTGTCACGGTCTTCGCTCTTTGTAAACTGACTGCAACGAAACGTGTGACCTCTGACCTCATCCGGCACCCCTCATCTCATATATATATTTGTGACACATGCACGTACCAACTAAATAAAATTATTATTATTCCCATCTTTCTATTCTTCGAATTCTTGCTTTTCTCATTTTATTACTTTGAAAAACTTGCTTTCATTGTTCAACCCCAACCTGATGATCAAATTCAATTCCCCTAGTGAGAAAATGACAATAAAAATTACCACCGTGGTGGAATCCCTTTCAAAAAATGCCGACTGCATACACCAAAATCATACTCTTTCAATTTCCATACTCACAATTTATGTATATTTGCATACATAATTTACAAAGGAGACAAGTTATTCGGGGGCGAAATGGTACAGGGTCCTCTGTTCTTTTGTACATCTGCTCACTCGGGCAATTACTTTGAAACGTCTAAAATTTCCTTAATTTTGTTTCCGGAAATTGCTAGCATACTTAAAATATCAAACCAAAGTCAGTTAAAGATTAGTAACCTTTGGTAGTGGGGGGTTGGGTGGGGTTGGCCAAAAGTCACCAAAACAAAATCTTTTACGCGTTCCTACTTATGATGCATTTGAGAAATTATTGTACTTGTACTGGCTTGCGAATTCTTGTCCTTTGGCATATCGAGTGGGTCAAACACTATATAAATATCATTCACATAAATTCATAAAATTAATTCTTCCTACTGCTGCTACCAATTGTCTCCAGCGTGTGTCTCACCTCAATCTCATTTTGCCTCCCATGTTCATTTCAGCTACAAAATGAGACAGTGAAAGCGAGTATTCATTGCATATGTTTAGCCTCTTTAAAATGCAGAAACGAACAAATAGAGAAAGATTCTCACCCCCCACAATACTTAAAATTCACACGTCGACCCATTTATGCACACTGATTTCATGCACGAAATAAAAAACGAAATCATTTACATGTCTGTGTGCCTTTCTTCATGCGAAATACATGTATAACTTTGAACTAGAATATGAAATTGAATGTCCACTTACTTTGTACTTTGTTTGTCCATTCTTTCTGACCAAAATAAAAATCATCAAGTATTCACTTACCTCACTGAACGGAAATCGTTGCTTGAATCTCTACGTGGCAGCTGGACTTTTTTATCTGCCCCCATTCCCCTCTCGACTCACCTGGACCTTCATTTCCCATTCAACACATGTGCATGCATCCATGCTTTCATTCTTTTCCAACATTTTTTCAGAATACCAATTTTATAAAAATGATTAACAGGATTTTTTAAGAATTTATAAATCTAAAAAAAAGTTTCTTAAAAAGATGAACCCTTTTCATATTCAAATCTGTAGTGCTTGTACATATATTCTTTCTCATTGAAATTAACTGCGACCCACTTGGATCTCTATTGTCACGAGGGGACACCCTCCACGTGGAAGAAGAACGAACGGGTTACATAAAATACGGACGATTCAATTGTTGAATTTATGTATTTAAGATGTTTTAAAGGACATTTTTTAATTAAGTATAAAAATCTTGGTGACGGCATGGCAGACCGGTTCTCATGCCCTTCAGGAGAGAATTATTACAAAAAGTGGAAAAAAATAATTAGACCAAAAAATTACAAAACCCTCATCTCTGTAATATCGTGTGAGAGAACATTGTGTGGTTTGAATCTCTCTCACGATCTCCAGCAGATTGTATGTGGGCTTGGTTTTTTGGTTTATGAAATTCGAATATCATATGTATTCGCAGCAGCATTTAATATTTCATTTATGATTTTGTTCATGATTTTGTGTGTATGAATTGTTCCATGATTTTGTGTGTGTGATTTTAATCTTTTATGTATGAATGTATTTGTATGAAAATTGGGCATTAGTAGTAAGTATGTTAATTTATCGATAACAAAGTCTTTCCAAGTTCAAGAAAACTGTGTACGTGTTCGTTTTCCCATTGGCTAAAATAACGAGCAATGTGAGTGGTCAGTGGGCTGAAGCTATAGTGAAGAAGTGAAGTGATTTTTGGGATCGATTGTTCTGCCCAAGTCAGTCTTTTTTTGAGTCTCAAGTCCACTTCAAGTCTTTGTTGGGAGTCGGAAGTCTTGGGAAAGTCTTTGTTTGAGTCCGTTTCCGAACCAATAGTTTTAAGACTCCAGTGACATAGCAATAGAGATTTTTTTATGAATTGATTTGTCATTGTAATTGAATTGATACCGAAATTAAACCCTGTCAGCAATAAACTACTACTAATTGGCCAGAATCCACGAATTGAAATAGCATCTCATTGTGCTGGAGAGGATTTCATAGTGGGGGGCAGATTTAGTGGGGTTAGGATCGAGGGATAAATAGTGGGTGTAGTCGGTTCCTGAGTAGGCACATAATAGTGTAGATATCTGCTAAATTTTCTGGTCTCGCCGTCCCGAATAAACCGTCCAAGGAGCTACGCCCTCTTGTACCAGCCACACCCATACCCTGAGGGATCCATCCGCTACTGACAGGCGAAGTTTCAGCCGTACATCGCTGGTTTGTGTTCACCAGGATAAAGATTGGACACAATTTCAGGCAAGCTGTTGTTCCGATTCTATTTGTATTTTGGATAAAAGTTAATCGCGGAATCGCCGTTATTGCTTACTAATTTCCGGTTCAACGAGCTGCCGACCGAGTCACGTACCATCCCGTCAAGAATTTACGCCGTCAGGAATTCGTCCGCTACTGACAGGCGTTTTGTCAGCCGAATATCGCTGGTTGGTGTTCACCAGGATAAAAAAGGACACATTTTCAGGCAAGCTGTTGTTCCGATTCGCATTTGTATTTTGGACAATAATTAATTGGGGAATCGACGTTATTGCTTACTCTTTCTCGGTACAATGACGACACCAACTAACGAGACAGTGGATCTGCCGGAAGCGACGACTTTTCGCAAGTCACCGAGGGAAAACGCCGGAGTTCCGCCCACTCATCTTATGCGCGACTTCGTCCTTGACCCAGCCGCGAAGAAGAAGAACACGCCCACCGCCGTCACATCCAAGTCTAAACCCAGCAACGCCAGCAGCAAGAATGAGAGCCGCAAGTCCAAGTCGTCGCACCGCAGCACCCGTCAAGCTCGCCAAGCCGAAGTAACAGCGGCGCAGAAACTGTCCGATATATGTAAGGAAAGGGACGACAAGGAGAAAGAAATCAAGAATTTAGAACTGGACCTGGCTGAGCTGCTGACAAAGATCAACAGCAATACAGACATCATTAAAGACCATGCCAAATACGACGAACCCTCAAGACTAGCTGCAGAATCCCAAAATCAATCGTATCTGCAACAACTACGTCAAATGGAGGCAGACATACGGAGGGCTACAACTAATCTCGAATTCGACCAACGAGATTACATGCGAAGAGAAGCCTTGGTCAGAGCAGAATTGGACCTGGCCAAGTTAGATGCGACCGACGACTCTGAGGAGGGCGGCGGAAGCAGTGATGATGATTCAGCCGAACCATCCGAAGTGGAGAAATGGGCGGAGAAAACTGTTCTTCACATCCCAGCCGACCCGATGGTCAAAGGGAAAAGCAAGAGTGGGTCAGAAAGATAAGGTGGAGCAGAAGGCGACGTGGAGGATGAGAAGTCGGCCAGCGAGGCTGAAGAGAAAAAGAAATCATCCCCTCGTCACAAGAAAAAGAAGACCCATAGAAAGTCCAAATCCAGTCCCAACAAGTTCAACCTTGAAGATATCGTCTCAGCCTTAGCCAACGCGATCAATGGAGCAAGTCTCAAGTCCTCTCACAAAATGTCAGACAAGATCCTAGCTCGTCAAGTACAGGGAAGAGACCTGCCGTCTTTCTCTGGTCATCCCGAAGAGTGGCCCGGTTTCGCTGCAGCGTTTGAAACCTCCACCAGAAACTGTGGCTACAACAATGCTGAGAATCTCCCCCGTCTACAGAAGTGTCTCAAGGGAGACGCATACAAAAGTGTGCAATGTTTGTTGGTCGACCCGGATGGGGTGCCAACCGTGATGGAAAAACTGAAGATGAGGTTCGGTCGCCCCGCACTCATCATTGAGTCGATGATACAGAAGCTGAGAGAAGTTCCGCCTGTCAAGTTGGACCGGTCGGAAACTTTCATCGACTTTGGAATCGCAGTGGACAACTTGGTGTCCACAATTAAGTCCCTGAAGCAACCGCAACATATGGGAAACCCGACATTGCTGCAAGAGCTCGTCAACAAATTGCCGTTGATGACCCAAATGGATTGGAGCCGGTCACAGAAGGATGACTCGTCCAATCTAGAAGATTTTGCCAAATGGATTGACAGTTACACCCAGGCGGCGTGTAAATTGTGCCCCACCAGAGCAGAGAATAGTACCCAACGAGAAAACAAGAAAGGAAAGAAGCCGGAACGAGTCTACACGGTCAGTGAGAAGAATAATTCTGGTCAAGGGAAGTGGGAGAAGAAATGTGCATTTTGCTCTTCATCCCACCACCAACGAGATTGTCCCACATTCGTCAAGTCTGATGTCGACCAACGTTGGACCATGGTAAAGGGAAAGAGGGTATGCTTTGGGTGTCTGGGGGTCGGTCACAGATGCGGAGACTGCCGTTCTTCGCGACCATGTGGAGTAGATGGATGCAACGTCAAGCATCACAAACTGCTCCACCAAGTAAGATCCAGCCGATCAAGAGAAAAGGAGAAAGCAGCAACAGAAGAAGAAAAAGAAGAGAACGTTGTTCTTCAAACACGGGGGGAGTGGAATGAAGTCATCCACATGATGAGTCCTGTACAAATTGAGGGTCCGAACGGCAAGATTGAAGTCTTCGCCATTCTTGATGGCTTATCATCCATTACCACCATGGAGAGCGCAGCCGCGCAGAAATTGGGAATTGTGGGATCGCCAGTTCCGCTCACGATCAAAGGGTTCAATTCTACGAAGACGTATCAAAATTCCCAAGTGATTGACGTCCGTTTGCAAGCGACGAATGAGAAGTACGCCTGCACTTTAAGAAATGTGAGAACCGTTGAGAAGATTGAGCACAGTCAATCCGTGAAGAGATGTGACTTGTCAAAGTGGTCACATCTCCAAGACCTGGACATCCCGACCTACAACAATGCAAAGCCAACAATCCTGATTGGACTGGACCATCCACAACTCCATGTCCACCACGAATATCGAACCGGGAAGGGGAATAATGAACCTGTCGCGGTCCGAACTCCTCTTGGGTGGATGATCATGGGAAGACTAGGTCAATTTCGCCAGCAACAAAGCCACACCATGTTTTCAATGAGTGAAGCCGATTCAAGCCTGCATCAAATGGTAAAGGAATATTTTACCATCGAGTCATTGGGGGTCAGCGCTAGTCCAGCAAAACCGAGGTCCACTGAGGACCAGAGAGCTCAACAGCAATTGGACTCGTCTCTACGCCGCGTACCAAACGGATGGGAGGTCGGATTACTGTGGCGTGATGATGATGTCTCTCTTCCTCTCAGTAAGCAGATGGCATTGTCAAGATTGAGGACAATGGAACGGAAAATGGATAGAGAACCAGAATTTTCCAAACAATACGAAAGCAAGATAGCTGAATATCAAGAGAAGGGTTTCGCCAAAAAACTATCAAAAGAAGAGGCAAGTGTCGAGACGGGGAAAACATTCTACCTACCACATTTTATGGCCTTCAACCCAAAAAAGCCGAACAAGTTTCGTTTTGTTTTTGATGCGGCAGCAAAAGTCCAGGGTAAAAGTCTGAACGACTTTCTCCTCCGTGGTCCAGACAAGCTATCCTCCCTTCCAGGCATTCTGCTCAAATTTAGAAGATATCCTGTCGCCATCACGGCAGATATTCAAGATATGTTTCACCGGGTCCGAGTGAAGCATGACGACGCCCAGGCACAAAGATTCTTGTGGAGAGGCAAAGAACGAGATCGAGATCCCGACGTGTATGAAATGGGGGTCCTAATTTTTGGGGCAACGTGTTCGCCAACTTGCGCCCAAGAAGCGAAAAATAGAAACGCCCTGGAATATCGACAGCAATATCCCAGCGCATGTGAAGCCATTATAGACAAGCACTATGTTGACGATTTGTTGGATTCTGTCACGACCGTGCAGGAAGCAGTTAAACTTTTCCATGAAGTCCGAGAGGTACACAGCAAGGGTGGATTCAATCTTTGCAACTGGCTGTCCAACTCGAGGGAAGTAATGCAAGAAATCCCAGAAGAATTGAGGGCAAAATCCGTAAAGAGTCTGGATTTCTCATCCGGGCAACATGTGGAGAGAGTTCTTGGCCTGTTTTGGAGGCATGATGAAGATGCATTCACTTTCTCCCTAACGTATTTAAAAGCTCAATCCGATGTGCTAAAAGGAGGACGACTTCCATCAAAGAGAGAAGTCTTGTCATTGGTCATGTCATTGTATGACCCTCTTGGATTCTTGTCGATCTTAACCATCCGAGCCAAGATGATTATTCAGAAATGTTGGACCTCTGAAACTGGATGGGACGATGTCATACCCGAGGAAACACGAGAATTTTGGAGAAAGTGGCTGGAGGAGCTGCAAAATATCACCAAGTTCCAGCTACCACGATGTCTCAGTCCAAATCTGTCCAAGTCCCAGGACAACCAACTCCACGTCTTTGGAGATGCAAGCGAGGAGGCGTATGGGGCCGTGGTGTATTTGAGAATGATTACTCCCACCGGGATAGAAGTCTCACTCATCAGTGCCAAGGCGAAAGTAGCACCAATCAAAGTGGTGTCCATTCCCCGACTCGAACTGCAAGCCGCCGTGTTGGGGACAAGATTGCAAAAATTTATTAAAGAAGAAATGTCCATTCCAATCAACCGAGTCGTATTCTGGAGCGACAGCAGCACCGTCATACATTGGATTCGCTCAGACGGAAGAAGATTTCAGCAATTCGTTGCTCATCGAATTGGTGAAATTCAAGAGAATACTGAAATTAAGGATTGGAGATGGATACCAACGAACGAGAACGTGGCGGACGAAATGACACGAATCGACAGCAAATGTGACTTCAGCGTCAACAGTAGATGGATTCGTGGTCCAGAATTTTTGAGAAAACCGGAAGAAGAGTGGCCAGTCGAGAAACTGAATCCTCGTACCAGTAATCACGAGTGGGAGCTGAAGAAAGTCATCATCCATGCCATGAAAGAACTCCAACCCGTTATCGACATATCCCGATTTTCAAAATGGAAGAGATTGCTCAACGCCACAGCCTACATGCTAAGATTCGCCAGGCGTGTAAGGCCAGCCCGTAAGATTGTCGAACCAGAAGAATTTGCTGCTGCTGAGAGGTGGTGGTGGATTCAATGCCAACGAGAATGCTACCCGAACGAAGTAGCAATACTACAACAAGGTCACCCACTTCCAAGGACCAGTCGTCTTCAGTCACTTACCGTGGGACTAGATGAATTTGGAGTTATGAGGGTCCGTGGGAGGCTCGATAATGCAGACATCCCAACATCAGTTAGAAGTCCAGTTGTGTTTGACCCGAAGCATCCATTTACCATTCTGCTACTGCGCCACTATCATCAGATCTGTGGACACCATGGTCACGAGCGGATCGGAAGTTCGACAACAATACTTCATCCCGTCCTTACGAAATGCAATACGCACCAGTTATGCAAATTGCCAGCAATGCAAGAACGAACGAGCCACGCCACAAGCACCGGAAATGGGTCAACTGCCGAGATGTCGAGTTGAGATGAACGTCCGTCCTTTCTACAAAACTGGATTGGACTATTTTGGACCGATCGACGTTGTAGTCAAGAGAAGCCGAGTGAAGAGGTACGTCGCCCTCTTCACCTGCCTAAGCACGAGAGCTGTGCATTTGGAAATCGCAGGGTCGTTGTCAACCGACTCCTGCATCATGGCAATCCGACGATTTGTATGCCGACGAGGATGTCCGAGTACCATTCACTCAGACAATGGTACCAACTTTCATGGAGCTAACAATGAGCTCAAATCAGCCCTCGCCGAGATAAATCAAGATAAGATGAACCAAGAATGCAACAACAGAGGAATACGGTGGTCATTTCTTCCGCCGTCAAGTCCGCATATGGGTGGAAGTTGGGAGCGGATGGTCCGTTCAGTGAAGAAGGCAATGGGGTCCGTACTACAGATGAAAGACTTATCCGAAGAAGTCCTCCATACCGTACTGCTCGAGGCGGAGCACACGGTAAACAGTCATCCACTCACCCACGTGGCGGATGATCCCGACGACCCCGAAGCCTTGACGCCGAACCACTTCCTCCTCGGACAATCCAGCAACCTGCAACCCATGGGGAAGTTTACTGATTCAGACATCATTTCCCGGAAACATTGGAGAATTTCACAGCATTTGGTCAACCAATTTTGGCGCAGATGGGTGAAGGAATTCCTCCCGACGCTACTACGCCGCCAAAAGTGGTGTCAAGTGACTCGACCCATTCAGATAGGAGACGTCATCATTGAGGTCAATCCAAACTTTCCGAGAAACAGTTGGCCGAAGGGGAGAGTCGTGGAACTCTTTCCAGGGAAGGATCAAGTGGTACGAGTCGTCTCCGTCAAGCTAAGCAATGGACACATTTTCCGTCGTCCGGTCGCCAAGCTCTGCATTTTGGATGTGCAATCCTCTCATCAAGACAACGACAAGAATAAGGACAAACAAAGTGCTGCGACAAAGTGATTTAGGTTCCTAAATGGGGGGAGTATGTATTCGCAGCAGCATTTAATATTTCATTTATGATTTTGTTCATGATTTTGTGTGTATGAATTGTTCCATGATTTTGTGTGTGTGATTTTAATCTTTTATGTATGAATGTATTTGTATGAAAATTGGGCATTAGTAGTAAGTATGTTAATTTATCGATAACAAAGTCTTTCCAAGTTCAAGAAAACTGTGTACGTGTTCGTTTTCCCATTGGCTAAAATAACGAGCAATGTGAGTGGTCAGTGGGCTGAAGCTATAGTGAAGAAGTGAAGTGATTTTTGGGATCGATTGTTCTGCCCAAGTCAGTCTTTTTTTGAGTCTCAAGTCCACTTCAAGTCTTTGTTGGGAGTCGGAAGTCTTGGGAAAGTCTTTGTTTGAGTCCGTTTCCGAACCAATAGTTTTAAGACTCCAGTGACATAGCAATAGAGATTTTTTTATGAATTGATTTGTCATTGTAATTGAATTGATACCGAAATTAAACCCTGTCAGCAATAAACTACTACTAATTGGCCAGAATCCACGAATTGAAATAGCATCTCATTGTGCTGGAGAGGATTTCATAGTGGGGGGCAGATTTAGTGGGGTTAGGATCGAGGGATAAATAGTGGGTGTAGTCGGTTCCTGAGTAGGCACATAATAGTGTAGATATCTGCTACATCATACTTTCCAGGAAATGCGTTATCATTTTAATCTAATCTTCCACGCTCTTTAATTTCGTTACAAGATTCTTTAATAAGCAAATACATAAACGTTAGGATGTAATTATTCCAACTTTTATATAAAATTGGCAAATCTTCAGCTTTCCTGATTAATAAGACTCATTATTCTTTAAAATCTTAATGCATTTTTTTTTCTTTAACAACGAACCCAACGAACCCGGTGCTCCTCCAACTTGTGCTGAAAAGTGAACAGAATAACAGAAAAACTAGAATTATACAAGATCAGGATCTTGCATTGTCAGTAATTTAGAACTTGATCGTCTCCTCCTCATCCTGCATTTTATTCGAGTCAAATTGCATTCTTCTTCATCCCCGATGCAGATTTTGTATCATATGTAACGCAAAAATTGCACCGAACCGAACTACCGTCTAATAATAATAAGAATGTTTTATTTTCTGGTCATTGATCATTAGTCTGGGTCATTAATCCGATAATTTATTTCGAATTGTTGCGCCCATGTACATATGTGTCGATATCGAATAGTTTCGCCATCATTTTTATGTCAGTTTATGCCTGCTAACTAACTTATATAACTTATTTCTTGCTGACGTCAATAAAAAACTACAACCACGATACAAATCACGGTAAATTTTTACGTAAAAATGCATCCAGTTCATACATATGTAACATATCATATCAATCACGAAATAATAATACAAAATCCTATCATCATCACCATCACCCATGGCACGATTATTCCTTTACTATTCGTGATAGCCTACTATGCTCGTCACTTAACTGGCTAGATTGAGGTAGGGTATGAATCTCTCTTAAATTGGCAACATGTAATGATAATAACCTCATAAATAGGACTCATCACCTAAGGCCAGGAATCCATCCTTTGTTCAGCAACAATTTGGACAGGTTGTTTGTAACGCAAAAAGATAAAATTTTGAGGGACAGCACGTCTAAAAGGGGTACGAGTTACATAAAGTATTAATTTGCAAGGGGTATAATTAATTTACTAGGTATAACATAAATAAGTACAGCAAAGCTAAATAAGCAATAACTATTAATTTAATTAAAAATAAACTGATCTTCCTTTATACAAACCTGACCACACCAAATGCACAATTTCTTGTGACACACACAACAACCCACAATTTCATCTCTGCCTGCAAGAAAAGAACTCTATAAAATATGCGACCTTGGTGTGTGCTCACCACTCGCTAAAAACATGCAATTACCCGTCAAATCCAAGGCTAAAATACGTCAACCAACCATCCATCCATTAAAAAAAAGAACTTTAATAAAAATCTCAACTTTTGACCAAAACAAGCATCATAAATACGTAAATAGATATTTCATAACCGAAAGAAAAAAAAGCCGACGAGACGACCATGCATCATTTCCTTTACACGACGACGAAGAAGAATTACGATATATTATTGCTTTCTACATACAAAAAAAATCTTTCCAATAAAAAAAAACCGGAGATGGGCACACCTGTCGCTGATTAGGTTTTACATGTACGAGAAACTCGTATTTCTTACATATTTCGTGTAATGCCAGGTAAGTAAGAAAGGAGATGAAAAAGAGCCCTTAAATTTCATGCCTTTATACCTTCACAAACTTATCCGTCTTGCTTGGTTGGATTAGCCCTCAGCATTTCTATTTCTTCGTCTCGGCTTCATTATAATCATCATCTTCATCTTCCTGCTGCTGTTGCTGCTGCGGTTAAAGGACGTAAAAAACGCTCTGCACCATCACGGTTCCTGGTTTTTATGCACGTGGACTCGGGAAGAATACGATGTCTGGTCTGGAGAGAAGTCGAGCCTTACTTACACACAGTAAATTAAGAATTCAAATCTAAATATCTCAAAATTGAAGAAACTTGTTGAACTAAAAGTGCCGGAGGAAGAGGGGAAAAAATCAAAATGAAATATGAAATAGTGGAGTAATCATCATCATCATTTTACTCTGGGGAAAGCACAACATAATATTTCGGGTAGTAAATCTCAATATATATAATTTTAAGTCAAGTTATATGGCAAATGCTGGTCAATGCTGGTCGTCTCTCTTTTGTGTTGTTTCACACTGGATAAAAAACGCTGGGCTACAGACGAATACATGTAATAATGACGAATACTTCTGGAATTGGTTTTATCCTCCTCCTCCTTCATGAGAATTCTGAAGTAATCAAAGAACTGGACCAACAAAGAAAGCTTACTCGTCGTTCTATGTACGTGTCTCATCTGCCTCTTCTTCAGCTACCTACCCACTAATATTTACTGCATAAGCCAACCAACCAACTAACCAACTTTTTTTATTAACACTTTATTTTGATTCAACTTTTTATACGAGATGATAATGTTTTCTTCTCATGTGGTGTGTTGGCTCCATCCTGTCCATCCCTCATCAGTAGTGGCTTCCTCTACATACATGCATGCATATTATTCTCAAGTGCATTTTACATTTTGTGTATGCCTCGTACAAAAAAAAATCTCAGCATTTTACAGTGAAAATAAAGTTAAAGTATTACTAAAGTACATACACACGTATAACTGGTTCCAATTCCTTGAGAAATTACGTCTTTTATGAATGTTTTATGTTTATCATTTACATTTGCGATGATTAGAGGCAACATTAATGGTAAAATGAGGAGAGAGAAAAAAAACCGTATTGAGAAGACTGAATTCAAATGAAATCTCGTCATCATTATTCGTCGTCCACCAACCGACAAGAATCCCACACCCTTCCTCCATCATCCTATATTACTTACGTTATGCATGTATTCCTTTCCTTATCCATCAAAAACGCAAAGTGGACTCCTGTCTAAAGTTTTGACTTGCTTTTTTTCTATTTTTTGCCTCTTCTCGACTACCTCTTCTGCTATTCTGCTCTGCTGTAAGTCCAGTCTCCTCGAGTCAAAAGAAGAAGAAGACGAGGAGGATGAAGAACTAATAAAAAAGGGACAATAATTGAATAGGAATTCCAAACTGCCATGCATGCACACAACATCAGCAACCATCCCTATTTTGTATTTTCCCTTGAGAAAAGAGAGAGAGCCCTTTGTGATCAAGTGAGAAAGAAGACGTCGCGTCCTGTAATGAATTGAATTGAAGATGATGATCATCATGAGAGCCCTTAACTATCACGCGTTCCTCTCACACCCACCCATCCACACACACCCACCACCACCCCTCCTCCTTCCCTGTAAGTCCTCGTATGGTGGAAACGGATAATAGATTTGTGGTGATTGGGATCGCATTCCACTTCCAAATAATAATTGGATAATGGGAAAGTTGGGACAACATAAAAAGAGACGACTAAAAAGAGAGAGAGATACGGATATTTTGTACATATATTTGGAGGCATTCCTATTCCGTTGATTTAGAATAGAAGGGTTTGCTTACACACACACATTTTGTCCGGGATGTCATGCAGGTTCGAGATAAAGATAAAATAAAAATAAGAATAAGATGACAAAAAAGAAGAAGTAAGACTTCCACTTCTGGAATTTACTCGTCTTCCCATTGTTGTTGTGATGGGGAGTGACCATGCATAAAAATTGGGAAGGAGGGCAGCAGCAAAACAATCACATTTAGTACAATGTAAATAAATATGAGAGAGTAAACGGAAGCATTCCTATTTGTGTGATCAGCATCTCATAAAATATAAATTTCCGAGTATTTTCTCTACAAAAACAATTGTTTTGATTCAGAAGAGGAAGATAAATTCTGTGACGCAAATCATCCTCTGAGAAGAAAAAAAACAAGGCTCGTCTCCAACTGCTAAAATTGGCAAAAAGTGGAGAGAAGAAGAATCCTAAATCTAAAGAGTCCAGAGTCCGCAGCAGAAGCAAAGATAGTAAAAAAATGCCTTGACAGAGTTTAGTCGTCGCGTTGGCGTATCTTTTATGTAACGCTCTATATTTTTTATCCCCACATTTTTTGCTTAATCCGACTACATCTCATCATTTATTTTTGGGAAAAGAACAAGCTTCCCACCCAGCCACCCAACCCGTGTACACGAAATATCGCTCCATACAGCCGCACTACCACGATTCCTATCGTTTTTTGCTAATTTTGTCAAGTCTCAATTTTTTGCCAACAGATTCATCACTTCCCCATAAATCTTCCATTCCACAACATCGTCGTCGTCTTGGTCGTCGTCATCCCCCAAGTAAAAGGAGTGGGGAAAAAAAGCTGGAATAAAATCCACTCTTCTCGGCGTGGCAAATGGAAAAGTAAGTAAGTAAAGTCATGTAAAGTAAAATATTCACAATTCTCTTCACGTTTACACTATGTGTATTTCTTCTTCGTGGTGCATCATTTCATGACCATGACTTATTACACAGCTTCTCCAAGAAGTACTACTCCTCGAGCTACATACATAAATGCATGCACTTTTTTATCCCCGTCCATTCCATTTTTTGCTCATTCATACATTGCTCCTACAGAAGAAGAAGAAGTTGCTGGAGGAGCCACACAATTATTACACAAGTTTCCAGCAGCAGCAAGCAGGATCGAATCCAAGAGTAAAAGTCTCCTTGTGGAGGCATCATCACAGAATAAAAAGAGCCGAAAGAAGAAGAAGGGATCAGCTTTTTTATCCCGTGTTACACAGTCTTACCTCATCTCAAATGGAGGAATATTACACATACACAAACCCAATACCTATCTAAATACGAGCTACGTACGTACGTATTCCTCATGGCCAGATTTTAGATGGGTCCCTAATGTGAATGTGATGTGAGTCGCTGCACTTTTTACGCCACGAATGGGAAACACTTTTCGTTTTTCTTGTCAGTCTCACTCAGCAGAGAGAGATGGAAGAAACAGAACTGACGACTCTCTCTGGCTCAATGTGCCCCATAATATTTGTTTGTTTAATAAGGAGTAGCTGCAATTAATTAATTCAGTGTTATTATGTAATCATCATCGTCATAAGTAGATTGTGTGCCAAGTGCTTTATTTATTTATGTAAGTAACGATACTTGGTCAGGTTCATGACTTTGACTTGGAGCAGATTAGATTGTTGTGTGTTAAGTAATAAACATAATAATTTAGAGTAATACTTTTTTTTACTGGGTGTGGACAAGTTGAGATTTTGAGATGGTTTTTTTCTCCTCACTGCTGCATTGGGATTTCTTTGAAAGGTGTGTGTAGCAGAAATATAAATAAATAAATTGGAAATTAGAAGTAAACCAGGTAAGGCGTTTTTTTTATATTTTGACAAATTTGTTTTTTTCCTCGTGTGCAAATTCACCGTTATTTTACTAGTATTATATTATCATCGTTTCGTTCATTTAAACCTGCCCTTCTTTTGTTGTTATTATTCTTCTGAAATTTATTAGTGTTTTGTTTTTGTCTCATCTGTAAACGGCGACATTATTACTGCAAAAAAAGAAAACGTTACTCGACGCACAATAATATTTTTTTTGTTCACACTACCAACAAAATAAAATAACTGGTTACACAAGCAATAAAAATTGCACGTTAAATGAGGCTGGCATTGTTAAAAATAATTCATCAATAAAATTGACGATTTTCTCTACGAAAATCGTAACAGGTTGTCGTTAGGCTTAAAAATCTGGATCAGATCCTTTGTCGCATTCATGTCGCAAAAAAACGGGCATTATTCTCATACGCCGGTTGATACAGAATAGCGATTACTTACATAAAAATAATAATCTTACCGTAGTTTAATTTAAGATTAGTTTACTTTTTTTGCCAAGTTGTGTGTATGTATTGCATAATCAGCAACTTAAAATATTACACAGAGTATTATTTATTCATTGCCTTATTTTATGAGGCAGAATAAATTACTAGAGATTTTTTGTCGCTCACAATGATGTGATCCACAAAATAAAAATTTATATACAGTGCGCGTGGGTTGATTGTTTGTTGGTATTTGTAGTTATTGGTTGGTGTCACACAACACATTACGAACGATACAAAAAACTTATCAAATTGTTTTGTATGGGCTGCACATAAATAAATACATACAAGTACAAGTAGGAGCTTTTACTCTGTATCCATGTGCTGAAGGTGCAGTTGGGAGCAGCAGCAAAAAGTATGAAATGTGTCCGCTTAATAAAAAGGACAAGGTCACTTATTGATGATGCAGAATACAATTTATTTAAGAGGAGAGAGAGGGGCAAAAAAATCGGGAAATTGTCTCCACCACATAATACCACTCTCCAAACTCTTTTGTGTTTAATGGTTCTTGTCCCATTATTGCAGAGATTGAATAAGAGTGTTCTTTTTTATATAAAGAGATTTAATAGTATTGGAAATGTAATTTTCTTCCACGACAAAAAAGGCATGATGTTGATTTAAACACTGGTCTCAATTTAATGCGTGGATTTGATATTTTATTTCTTTCCCTTATTTTTTTACGACAGTTTTTAATCTGACTGTAAAATTTTATTTGAATCGATATCAATCACCAGATTACACACATATGGAGTTGAATGTCCAATAATTCATGAATAAAAAGCCGAGATGATGATCTTCTCACATGGTATTTTTTTCTGGCTGAGTTTCATTTCGCTCTGCCACACGGTCAGCATGGGCTCAGACAGAGATAAAATATCCCACAAGTACACATAAGACAAGGTCCAACCAAAAAGTACATGATGTAAAAAAAGCTTGGATTAAATTCCAATTCAATCACTTCACTGGCTGCGTGTATGTAAGATGTGTTTGTTGGCAGAAGCGAGTCCAATTCGATACCAGAGAGGAAGAAGAATCGATTGACCCTGTCATGGGTACTTGAAAGAGAGGAGGAGGAAAAAAAACGAGAATCAACCAACCAACCACCTTCTCAGGTTTTTCTGTTTTTTTTTTATTTCAGGACCCACGAGACCCACAAAAAATTGGATGATAGATAATCTCAATCTCGTAATACTGTAAAAAGCTTTTACACAAAAAAATACTAAAGGAAGGAAATGGAGAAAGTCATCCGAGAACCGCCGCCTCTTCTCCAATCCGATTTTCAGATCCAAACAATCAAACGTGACCGAACGCTGAGTCCTCATAGTAATAATCCCTCCCAAAATTCGCTCAACTTTAGTATGAAGAATTTAACCTCGTCCCCGTCAAATCATCGTGCCATGCACCATAATCATCTCAACTCTTCTTCCTCGTCAACTTCTTCTTCCGAACGTAAATCCCCACACAATAATGGATCCCCATCGCCCTCACCCACCACCAAGAATGTCGGCGTGGGAGCGAACCTCCTCCAGCAACAGCGTCACTCTTCCGCCCCCGTCGCTGTGGGACATGGTCACTTCGGGTCTATTAATGGACCTTCATCCGTCTCCATCTCTGCCGCTACGAACAACAGGAATGGGGTTTCGAGTCCGCAAAGTTCTTCACCCACGCCACTCGGTGAAAGCAGTAAGTTACATATTTTTCATAGCAGCAAAATGCTTATTTTTATCCAACAGTCTCATAAAAAACGGTGACTCGTCTGCTGCTGCCAGACTTTTTCATGCCGAGAGTTAGTCCATCACTGGAAAAGATCTCATGTTCCTCATTATGCATTCTTTATTGGTCCATTGTTATGTTGGCGTATGATGGGTCGTATCACCCTGAAAAATCTACGTACACACATTTCTTCTATCCGTATGAATGACGGACTTACCCTCCCTTCAAGCAACCATTTCTCTAACTAGCTAAATGAGAAGGACCAAAGCTTAACTTAAGTAGTCCGTCGGACAGATTGAGTGTATTGAGTGTCTGAGGGGCACAGGTCAGCATGTTCACCTCGGCTGGTGGTAATGCACTCCAAGAGGGGAAGAGTGGATTGATTTTCCAGGCGAGGCAATACCAATACAGTAAATCTTCAGAGGGCAGTTTTGAAAAAAAAATCTTCTACTGGACGAGATCCTGACTCGACGAACGAACCTATTTCTTCTCACATAAAAACAATGGGATGCAAATGAAACGAAAAGATAATAGCAATAGGAATACAATTATTATAAAAGTTTGGAAATATAAGGGCGGCTTCTTGCTTCCATTAAGATTCCAGGTTTTTATTTACAAACCGAAGAGCTGCATGTGGAGTTTGGTGGTCTAGCTCTTTTACCTTACACATCGCATATGTACAGGTTCGTTAGTAAATAGTATGCATTCACCACACCCAACAATCTATAACTACTTACCTGCATAGCTACTAGTTGGATATGTGCATACGTTATTCTGACCGTGACGACGACAACGATATCAAGCTGACTATGCTGCATCATCATCTACATACTGAACCAAATTTAAATTTCAAACTGTACAGACAAAGAAGAAAAGTAGTAGTCGTTCATACTTGGTTAGTTAGTGGTTAGGAAGCTCTTCTTCGTTTTCACTGGAGCACTTTTTGTCCACATTCTTCCCCCTTTTATGGTCCTTGAGCGATAAATTATCACTCTCCTTAAGACTAGAGGATGAGGATGATATGCTGTTATGATGATGGCGAGAAAGGCAGTTATGGTCAATGGGGAAAAGTGTGAGTTGGGTGCTGGGCAGGTAACTAATGGTCCAACTAATACGACTTCCACTTGACCTCAGCTCCTCGAAAAGTACCATCACCACTTGACACATTGTTATGTCATGCCCCGATGTCAGACAATGTGTCATCTTGCAGAGAAACATGAACATATCACGGCTCTCTCTAGGTCATCCACACAGGTGCACAAAAACTGAGGTACTTTTGTGTGTGTACCTCCACATATAAATATTGTGGAAAGAAATGCAGTGATCCGAAAGCGGTAAATTCCTTGGATCAGTTTTTTTGTGGTACTTATTTTTTCCCATTTTTTACCTTAACAAGATAATCCAACAACATGCCAGGCCAGGGTTCCACCCTTTCTTAATTCTTGGGTACATACATAACTTGTATCCAGTTGCTGTTGTAGGGGATCATCGTTAAGCAAGATATCAGATCACGGGCCAGGGATCAAATGACAAGAGACATGATGGACGAGCCAGATCAATTTTTTTTCTCCTTTTGTCCACTCTTTTGGAATAATATGCCTGTCATAAGTCGGTCTATGTATCGGATAGCATAGGGAGAAAAATCCCTTGCATACCGAACATAAATTCTGTACCTATCTCCCTCTTTACCCACCTACCCATTAAAAAACTAATGATAATTAATGTAGATATTGTACGGACATGGAATTTCAACATGTTCATGTTCCACTATAAGTTATAAAGAACATTCTTCTTGTCGTCATCCATTCACAAAAAACATTTAGAACATCAAACATACCTCTTCTCCATCCATATCCCGGCTAATCATCACATTAAAAGGAACAAGAAACAATAAAGTTTAAAGGATGAGGAGAACATCACAAGATACAACACATGGAAAGCAAGGAAAAAGGAGTAGGTTATAAACAAGCCGACTTTTTAACTCGAAAAATCTTTTTAAACAAAGGTGCTAAAATCTTTAGTGTTCAAAGTATTTCTTAAAAATCGTTAAAAACAAGAGAATTTCCTGCCCTACAAAAAATTAAGAGCTGACGAATCTACCCATTAAGTAAGTATATATAAGAAAGACTAGGAGATGATGATGGTTAGAAAATAATGTTAACCCTCCGAGTAACCCCGGCATGGAAAAAAACGGTCTATTGTTTATTGTTTGAGATGAAATGGTGATGGTACTGCTGCTGGTGGGTAAAAAAATGGGTAGACGATAAGAAAGAGAGTTCTTAAAAGTCATATCCGCTTGAGAAGAAAAGATGAAATATAATAATAAATAATAGGCATTTAATTTGTGAGGGTTCAGGTTTCTAAAAGCCATGTCTAAAAGTTGAGAAAATAACAACAATGTGATTTAACACGAAGATGACTGATAGCCATGCTAATTCTTAAATTAAACAAGTCAAATTTACTTTTTTTTAGACCAATCCCCATATTCCTCAGTCTCGTGCCCATCGCCATCCTCAGGGGTCAACCTCAGTCTAAAAGATGGCAACAAGGGTTTAGCCGGAGGAGGAGGGGTCAAAGGTCGTATGGCGATGGGGCGACCACCACAAACGGTACCAGCAGCAGCCTCGTCAAGTCCGAAGGGTGGTGACGCCCCACCCACAACCACACCTGCCGTCGCGAGCAAGATTGTCAGCCAAAATGTGAACGGCACTTGTAAGTTCTCATGATTATTAATTATTATTCACCCAATTTTTTTCGCTTTTATTCACGCTACATTGCATGCCTGTGTGTATTTAGCTTGTCACATTTTTTTTAGCATGCGAATCAGTTGTTGTTCGTGGTCGTGATAGAATTTGCAATGTCAGCAGTAATAGCTTAATTTGTACAGGTAGGATTTTTTATGTACTGAAAAACCCCCACCTGGCCTGGTTTGACCGTACCGTCAGATTTCTATTAATTCTCACCGGTTCAGGTTTTTGCCATCAATCATACCTTTCAGGCATAATTTTGAATTGCTGTGTATCATCCAAAATTACAGGGTATCATTTTAATTAGAATTATATAAATTTAGACAAGGTTTATTGGGTATATTTCTTCTCGAATAATTCGCACCTAAAAAATTTATAGAAGGAAAGAAAATCAGTGTTACGTATGAAACTTTTCCATGACTTTTCCTCATTGTGAGTCATTACGTACGTACAGACACAGACATATTTAGACAAATTGATCAAAGCGTTGGAAAGTAAAGGAGAGAAAATAAGCCACCGTCCGTTTGGCCAAACATTAATAAACGGAATATTATTAAAAGACCTACCTTTAAAGTGAACTTGTTGAGGCCGGTTCTCACCAATTGTTCTGCAACCTCTCTCCTTAACAATATTTCGTAGGAGGAGGAGGAGGAGGGATGACGACGTCTTATTCTAATTGGTGGCTTTTGACTCGACTTTTTTTGCAAACAAGAAGTCCGACTAAAATTTTGCACTGGGTACATTTTGGCACGCATGCAATATTTATATAAGTACAACTTGCTTACTGTAGGTCTGGGCTAAGGTCCTACCTACATTTTAAAATCACATGATGCAGAGTCGACCTCAAAATGCACGTGTCGCAAATACACATATCTTACTTATTGTTACCCACCAAAAGTACAACAAGGGACCTCGATTTATGTTTATGTAAGGAAAGTCGCATCATATAAATAAAGTGCAATTATGTCCGCTAACAAAGTCTTCTTGTGAGTTTTTCTAAGAGGTCGCACATTTTTCTAAGAATTCTTGAATGTTCAGTCTCATTTTTCCTCCTTCTCCTTCTTATCACTGCTCAAAAAGTTGCATTTCTCACAAGTGCGTCATTCAATTAAATTAATACTGACCCGTATAAATACATACAAATAGATAATGACTCAATTCACGGATCAGAAATTTTACAGTTTTCCTATCCTAACTGAACTCACAGGAAGATAATCACACTTCAAAACTGCTTTTACATAGGTACATAATTTCCAGTTAAATTTACTCATCACGATAAAATCCTGGAAAGCTTTAATAACATTTAATCACACTCCTTAATCATCCTGACTAACCAACATTGTTGCACAAAGTTGCAAACACTCGTCATACACGTACAGATAATCGCCACCCTGATGAATACAGTATGACTGCATAGCATTAACAATCGAAATTCCTTGGAATTAACTAACTGCCAAGAATTCAGATTTATGGATGATATTCATTGCAGCTTAATAATGAGAGAGTAGGAGTGAATCGTACTTACGAACGTACATACATATGCAGAAAAGTAGTGGTTAATTTCGACTATTTCTTGTCAGTCAACTTATTTTTTCCAGGTTACATAACCATAAAAAATTATTTTCGTTATATAACCAACTGGTTTTTGCATTGAATCGAATCAAACCAACCCAGCCAAGACAAACCACATACTACGATCACCGTCACTTAAACCAACATCAACAAAACCACCGCAGCAGCAGCAGCTTCAGCATTATACAAATCGTACCGAGTCTCAAACAGTAATGAACAAACTCACATATTTTAACCAGACCCAGAAAAGTAAATTTTTACTTGAAAAAAAGCCAGTTTCTTTCAACTACTTAACTTATCATGCAAAAGCAAGGAACAGATTACATACTCACCATTCCGTCTTCTTGTAATTGCAATTGTTTTTAATGCTAAACTCAAATTTATGACGGTTAATTTTTTTATTGGAAATCTAATTGCTTGCTAAAGAACATACAACATGCCGATAATCTTATATAAGAATGATTGCAACGCAATCATGCGACGACGCCGACCCCATTCACATAATCCGAATTTCTACACCGTCTCGATTTCCTTTTGCGTCACAAAATTTTCAAAATCATAACAATAATAAAAGGACCTGTGGACCTATTTTATTTTATTGCGGGTAAAATAACCGGTTGCCTAAAATTACTAGACGTTATGTTACATAAAAGTTATGCTATCCGGTAAATGAAGAGCATGCTTTCCGTTATCATACTTACATACACTTGAATAATGACAATTGTAGAACCAGATTTATTCAAATTTTGAAATCACGCCTGCTCATTTTGGACTTGAAGTGTTAATTAATTTTATGCCGTGAAGGAGATAAAAGCTCAGTTGGAAAATTCAAGTCCAAACATAGTCAAACTTTTTACCCAACCGGATGAATAAATTCATTTCCTTCCTTAAAGAAAATTTCAATTTACACGTGTACTCCATTCTGTTCAATTAATTTCTCCTAAAAAAAGAGGGAAGAAGAAACAACCGCATTTCTGGGTACATTTCTGGTACCTTGAAACGTTATGTGCATTATTAAGCCACCCATTACCTCGTTAAATACAATGTTTCACATACCCACAAAAAACAAGCCAAGTACGCTATACAGAGAAACATTTTATACAACTCAACTAACCAAACTCTCCTTGAAATTGCAAAAATTCCTTACAAAAAACTGTAGAAAAAAGATGAAAGAATTTTTGTTGTTCGATGTACAACAATGACGAGGCGAGCTGACTTCTCGCATTTTTAGTGGATATACCTACAATATTAACAGAAAAGCAGTAAAAACTCATTCATTATTATGCATACGCGAACAACTAAAACCTCCTAAGTCACTTAGCAGGACGAATAATATGAATGACATGCCATTTTTTTGTAATAAATGTACATATCTGTCCGTGGTTGTACTTATGTATAGTGCTGCAAAATATATTTGGCTAAAGAGCAGCAGCAGAACGAGATTTTTTTATCGTCGACGACTAATAATCCATGAACCAGGTCCCATTAGCGAGTGAGTAGTCAATGTCACTGCACAAAGGGAATTGACAGGTAACTAATGAACATGAAGGGAACTTTAAGGCCACACCACACACACACAGGTAGGCAGACATCGACGAGGTGGTGGTGGTGGTGACCAATTCAATAGTACAGATAATATATTATCTATATGCTTACTTAACAGCGATCCAAATGGTATCGGTATTTTTATTTATGTAACGTAACGAATGTGAGTAAGTAAGACCCAATGTCAACCTATAGTAAAACTCTCAGGGTAAAAGTATCGAGTAAAAAATGACCCAATTTGTCATTCTTCGTCCACACTTCATTTATTATTATTTTCTATTCTTTCCTCTCTCTCTTTCCAATAACAAGGCTGTGTAACGCGTAACTTTTTTTGCACCAATATAAATAGCTATTCCACTCCTCTCGCTATTAAATGAAGGATTTAATTGTGTCGGAATTATATAAGCTTTAATAATATTAATTATTGCACTTACATAAGCTCATTTTCAAGGTTTTTTTCCAGACTTTTCAAGTATTTTTATTATGCAGTGGTAAATACCAATAAAATGTTTTCATACTAAATTCTGCGGAGGAGGATGATGTGATGGGTGAAAAAGAAGAGTTGAGAAAACTACAAACTTTTTTAATAACCCATTCCCCAATTTTGAGCCCAAATTCATCACATTATTAATTAAACAGAGTTCGTTTAAATCCTCTGTGACCCTCGGCGTCGGAGGTTAATCAGTCGGAAGAAATTCAATTAATTTTCATCACTCGACTTTTCTCAACCCTTTTTAAAAGAGAAAAGTCTACTGAAATCTGAACTGTGGAGCCGGCGGAGAGCAATTTACTAAATTCGCTCCAGGTTAACCATACCCATTCGTCATGGACGTTAACGGTTGGAAGTTGGAAGTTCTCCCCCCATGCAAATATTACTCTGATTCATTTATTATTATTATTGTCATATTTCTTGCCTCGTAATTAAGATTAAAGTCATGCTGACTCAGTTTCATTTTTTAACTCTTGTGAATAATAAGTACAAACTCATCCCGTGCATATTAATGGGATGAAAGCATACATAGAATTCAGTGACAGTTACGAATTCTTCGTCTCGTTTGGATGGAGGAAGAATATTCACACACGTTGAGAGATAAAGAACTGATCTCGTTGTACATACATAAAATAAAAAGCCAGTCGCTCTCTCTCTCTCTGGACATAAAAAAGATTTTGAATGTGAATGCACTTTTTGTTTAAATGTAAATTGGACAAGATTTTAGTTTTGGAGATTCACCCCACGTACTGAAGTCCATCCATCCATCCATCCGAGGAAGAGGAAGAGAAGAGAGGGTGAAAGACTATAAGTTTGGTTGAGCAAATAAAGAATAAATAGTTAGCTGAGGTTAGGGAGACATTTACATGTGTGCATATGCATATGGCTGTAAAAAGCAGTGATATGATCTCATCCACCAAAAAGTCTTCTCATCATTATCAGGAAAATGATGATGACGATGATGAGATGTTGTTGTATGGAAGGAATGAAATAATAAAATTCTCTCCAGTCGAGACTGGCTGGACCGACTGTGACACGTACGTTTATTAATCTCTGGATAAAAAATGTAGCATTTCTTATGCAGATTTTTAGATTCTCTTTATTCTCTTCATTTGATAAGGGGTGAGAGGATGAGACAATGGGGTCGAAGTTTAGTGAGGTGAGATATTTACATACAGACGTAGATACACATGATAGCTAAATTCAGTGTAAACCAGGAAATTATTTAGGTTAAATTCTACTACTGAAAATTATTTTATCGATTAGCTGAAGATGTAATTTAAGTATTTTTACAAAAAAACTTGTGTGAAATTGGGTAGATTTTTAAAAAATCGGTAAATCAGGACGCACCCCTCTGC